AAGGTTATAACGGTTCCATTTCAGCCACCAGCAAAATCTGTTATCCTCTGATTGACATGCAATAGCTGACTGAAAGGTCCCAATAGAATAATATTTTAGGTCTTTGTCTACCAAGCACTCAGCAAATTCCATTTGCCAGTTGTAGATTGTTTGGGATCTTACAAAGTCAGAGATTAAATTACTTCAGAGAACATGTTTGTCTAGAAGGGMTCAAGAAACATGCAGTTCTCTGCAGAAGGCATAGCCTTAAAAAAGCAAAAATTTGTGTTTGATCTAGACTATGCATGTTTGGCCRGATGTCCTTTTCATGTTAGCAAAGAGAATTAGCCATAGAGTTTGTTACTATTACATTCTGGGACCCCTTAGTACAATCATTGCACTAGTAATTAACTGTTACACCACRAACTTCCAAATGCGAGCTTCAATTGCTAGCATGGCAATATCTGTATGTTTATAAAAGACATGACAAGTCACATGCTTCTGGCAAGTGCTTAAAAAAAAMCAGGTTCAGTAAGCATATGTTTAGCACAGCTAATTATAGAATCAACTACATTTGCAAAATACAGGAGTACAACAGATGACATTCTTGAAACATCCTGATCTGCACTGGGTAAAAACTCCAAATGTCTCAAGAATTATGGTCAAAAAGCAATGCTGTTTCTGTAAAAACAACATTGAAGCACTAAGTAAAGAACTGTCTGCCAAACTGTTCCCAGTATATCAAAAGCATGACATTTCCTATAAATCTAGAATTACAGTTTAGAATTCTCAGTCATTCTGCAGACACTTTACAGCACCATTGTATCCACTAAACAGGCACTGAAATGCTAAACACAGAAGGTTTAGACCAGACATGTTTTTCTGGGCTCTGGTTCAAATACTAAAGAATTTTGCCCAGCTTTTAGGTGTTCCTGTGCATTGTGTACCCTCTAGCTGCAGTATCCCCTCTCTTACGTGTGTCRCAGCATTTCCAAATCTGTATACATGAGGAAAATTAGTATATGAGCTCTTAGGCTCATGAGCAAAATTTCCATCCTTCATAGTTTTTTAGTTCCAATGTCCATTATCCATCTGAAGTGCCTTCTTTGCTGTAAAATAAATACATTTTGTAAAAACTTTGTGATTATAATGCTTACAGCATTTTTTTGTTGTACTTTTCTTTGGGTTTTTTTTTCACCAAACACTTCACCTGTGGAACTTCTTCCACAGTCTTCTTGTAATCAATGCAAATACCTGACTTAAATATCTTCATGCTTTTTTAAGACTAGCTGGAGATTATGTGACTATTCAAGGTATATTAACTTGGTTTCATCCTGATAATTTTCCTCTCCATCCTTTGGCTCTCCATTTTTATGATAAAGAARAGCTTTCCCTGCAATGTACTATGTCTGATTTAAATTAAATAAGTCATCAGAATTGACTTACCAACAACAAAACATGATTTAGTATTTGCAAAGAAAAGTAAATCACATTCAAGATGAGATACTGCAGAGGTTCAGTACGTATTTGAGATAGTAACTTTAAAATTCAGATAGCAAATTTAGAGCTAATACATGTACACAGAGCAAATGCGTATCATATATACATATATATAAAGAGGCAAAACCCATGCACATTGCTGTCTTTCAGCCTATTTTGCTTGCTTTTTTGGATGAGAAAAGAATCAGTTTTTCTGCATTGTGGTGTCACTATCTTACACATACACAAAAACAAATATACATTCCCTAGCTTCTGTATTGCAAGTAATATATTTTGTTATAAAATCAAACTAGCACATACAATGAAAAAACTATTTGTTTAAACACAAAATCCTTTTCTCTTGGATGATAGTTTTGTTTGCTTTAAACCCTTCAGAAATGTGAGTGATCCRCTGGTTTGTCCTCTCTCATGTCTCATGGGAACCCTCTAGTGACCAAGGTTTCCAGACCAAGTATKCAGGCTACTAGGGCATAAGCTTCATAACCTCCCTGGTTTTACTCCTTTTGTTTGTGCTGTTATTGAGGTCCTTGAACTTGCTACCTCCCCAGGACTTTCCATCCCATCTTCATTACTGCTGTCCTATACCACATGTGGAACAGCACCTCATAATTTCTTTTTGCTTATCATTCTTCACCAATACTAAAACAAAAGGGTCCCATGGAGCCAAATTTATCCCACATTCCTTCTGCTACTCAGGTTTGTCTCTCAGAGTGAAAAACATGTCTGCACACGTAACTTCATCCCGTTTTCCTTCTCTGCTACTGTAACAAGGTTTTATAATCTAAGGTTCCATGTTCAGGCCACTTAAGCCCTTGCTCCAATCAATAAAGAGGCCAAAGCCATACAGAATACCTGATCAAATCCATCTTTCTTAAATTACCTCCACGTATACCTCCCAACCTTTTCCAAAGAGCTAAAACACATCCTAGGAGRTTTTTCCTGGTTATCTCTTTACTGCTTGAACTACCCATCCTAATGCAACCTCAGCTTATGGTGGCTGCACCTYATAGCAAGAATATAAAGTCCATTTTCTTCAATTCTCAGCCCTTGCAAATAACACGTGGCACACAGTGGATACCGGAGATGCAACTGACAACAATACTTCCTCCCGCACTAAAAACACTGAAGTTGCAACCAAGGATTACACAACCAGGGAACACCAAAATGGCATGGTATTTCACAAACGGAGAAAAAAATAGGGGTTCTATAGGCAATGGAATGGGGGGGGTAAAATCGGACAAGACAAAAAGGGAGATTACTAGGAAAGCCGTAATAGCCACTGGCAGAGTCACAGTATAAGCAGACAAGACATAAATTGAGACTACTAGGAAAGCCGTAACAGCTTCTGGCAGACTCACAGTATCAGCTATAAAAACACAAACTCAGACAGGGAAATCCCTTCATCAAGGACACAGATAACAGCTATATAGTTTCAGACTCTGACATGGAAATTATTTTGGCAAGCACRGGGTAACAGCTGTTAAAAGATACATGGACAAAAACCACTAAACCTACATAAAATACATAAAACAACACATACAACCACAAAATCCAAAAGGCCCAGCCAAATCCAAAGCAAAAAGTTATCGGAACTTTTTAGGGGCTTCCAGCCCCCTTCCTAGGAGTCTCCAAAACTYGTTGTATCAACTCAGGAATTTCACCTGTGATACAGGCCTGGTATATGTCATCRCATACGTCTTACGGGAACCTTCCAAACAAATCGAAAACGTTGCAAACCAAAGCACAGATACTTTAAATCTATGCAGTCAGTCAGTCCTTTTCTACCCCTGCAGAGAGCCGGTGAAGCTTGGAGTCCCTCCAAGAAAATCTCAGGGGTGGCCTAGGGAGTCCCAGTGGATCTTGCAGCCAAGCAGAGAGGTCCTGTTGCAGTTGCCAAAACTGATGCCTGAAAAAGGCTAGAAATAAAACCCCATAGACTGTTGTCTATAGAGCAGATGTTTATTGCAGTGCTGGAGGTGAAGGAGATTTCTCCTCCTAACCCATCTGCCTTCACTTCAAATTAGCATGTATTTATACAGTAAGCATGGTGTAACATTACCATTGTCACTACACCCACCACCATATATGGGTACGGAAATACATGATATTACAGTTCTACAAGTGCGCCTGCATCACCCTCAATGCAGTGGTCGTGGGGGTCTCCCACTAATGAGAGACCATCATCTTCATCATGGTGGACTTCTCACCTTTGTCTTCAGAGCATGCACAGTTGTGATGTTCATGGCTTTTTCCTAGTCCAAAAAAAAAAAAACCTCCAAGTCTTCATTTTTCATTTTTCAGCTGACAGTCTTGTGCCTCTGCCAAGTTCTTGTTAGTGCTCTCTACTGTTCCTTGCTATAGCATCTACCTGTCCACTTTCTTCAGAACTTTTTCTGGTTTATGCTCCTTGGTGATTTCACGCATCTATGTAGTAATCCAGCTGGTTGAATTACATCCAGCTGGTAMACTAGATGTTGCTAATACATTGTTAAAAAACTCATAGCAATATACAAAAAGGCTATTATTGATAATATATTGAAAGCTATTTCATTGTACATTAATAATATGTAAAAAGTTATTACATTCTTATATTGATAATGTATAAAAAAGTTATAGAAAATTTTCAATCAATAGGCCTCATAAGCACCTTGTCACTTTGACATAAACCACAGGTACCAAGGTTATATAGTTATAATATATACATACACCTGTCTATATACATATTTATATATAAGCATGTGTCTCAAACTAAAGCTCTACTGCTAAAACAGAAACTTGACATTTAACCTTCTGAGAGCCATGTTTAAAAAAAAAAAAAACTGATGAGCAATCATTTTATTATTTGAAAACAATGGAGACTATCTCAGATAAAAACATCAAAACAAAGATTCTTGAGTTAGCTAGTAATGTTTAATGCAAATGCAACTGGTCAACTGGTAAAGTAGTACTGATGGAACCACCGATTTAGCTTAACCTTTACATTCCAGCCTCAGGCAATTGGAATAACTGCAAACTGTTTTTTGCAAGATTATCCTGTAAAGTATGAAACTTTTATTTTGAACTTGCAAAAGTATTTTGGGTTTTTTTCAAGCACTCCCCGGGTGCAAAGGCACGAGAACAGTCCCATGTTTCCTTCTATAGAGCTGGTACAGCCTCGATTTTCCAACGCCTTTCTTAAGCAGGACACGCTTCTGGCTGATTACATCTATATAACTTATTCCGACTTCCTGCTGACGCTTCTCCCCTGCCATGTCGTCTCACCAACTTCACTACTCCTCCTCACAACTACTTCCGCATTTTGTTGCCACCGCCCTTTGCCTTCTGCTAACGCGGTGAAGCAATGCTAAAAATCAATCCGAACCCTTCCCTATAACCACCGATATTCCCGCCTGGTGGACAAAATGTCTATTTCCCTTTTAACCTATGCAGTGCTCCGGCCCAGCCGGCAGTGACGCTCAAAGAACGGCCGGCCAATCCTTCCGGGAACAAGCAGCGCACCAAGCCCGGCGACCGCCTCAAGGGCGGGCAGAGGGCGGGGCAGTCGCGCTCGGCCCCGCTCGGCCTTTCCCGGGCGTGTTTGGCGACACTCGGACGCGTTCAGGCTGGTGCGTCGCTCGGGTCGAAGCTCGGGCCCGCTCGGTCTGCTGTCCCGCGTTCGGGCCCGTTCGGCCGCGCGCTCGGGCCCGCGCCGGTGCGGTGCTTCCTCCGCGCCGCTGCACGGGGTCCCGCTGTCTGTGGCGGCTGCGCACGGTAATGGGGTCCCGCTGTTGGTGTCGGGTCGCGGCCCTTGGGAAGGGAGTGAAGCCGACGCTCCAGGAGGGAGGCAGTAGAAGCTGTTGCTGTGTTACGCAGCGGTCTTAGCAGTAGTGTGCGTGTGTCTGTATGCGGTCGGTCGAAAAACCACAGTATCTTTTTCACTCTCAAAAGAATCTTCATTTTAATAGCAAAATCATTCTCTATTTAAGCCTCTTTAAAACTAGTTTTGATTTTTAAGGTAAAGTTTAACTGTGTTTGGAGATGGGTGGGACAAAAATTTGCGTTGGAATAGCAGTATCACACCAATCACAAGAATTTGACTTGGGTCTATTTTTGGTGATAATATTGATTGTGCAGTATTAAAGTTCGATCTTAAATCGTTTTAGTAATGCTGCATGTGCTTTCAAGCATTTTTTTATTTCTATTTTTTTAAACTTAGCTGGCACAATGACTGACTTTGTAAAGAATCTGCATGAAGACATGGTTTCTCAGCTGCACGAGTATGCTGCTGCTGGAGATGCAGCCAAGCTGAAGGCACTGCTCAGGCGCTCCCCGTCGCTGGTCAATGCTGCCGCAGGGAATGGCTGGACAGCCCTCATGTACGGTGCTAGAAATGGACACCTCGAGGTTGTGCAGGTTCTTCTTCAAGAAGGGTAAGCTGTTTAGTAGACACCATTCAAGAGCTCTATTTTGCAATCCCCCTTTTTGCCCATATCAGTTTTGTCTCAAAAAAGTAAGTTTGCCAGACAGATARTGACAGAATTTTCTGGGCTAAAATGCAGGAAAATGTATTCTGTGTCAGTTTATAACTGAGTTCTGCTGTTTCATCATGCTTTCCATATTTGCTAAGAAAGTCTAAAAGTTAGAAATATCTCTAAAATTACCCCTTTGATCTGTTGATCTGTTGATATATTGTCACTCCTCTCAGAGGCTAAGTGAATAGAATGCTGTTTGCATCCTATTCCAGCTACTCTATCGAATATAAATTGGGTGTATTTGTTTGATATCCTCAGATTTGTAATCCTCCTGAATCTTTGTTACAATGCAGAATATTTGCTGTCTCTTCATTAGGACATGACAGACATCTTTTCCAAAGTTACTGATTGATAAATTTGAGTTGTATCTTAGGTTTTGGACAGTACATTTCTTCCTTTTTCCTTGCCGTTACCAATGCTCTTTTCTTCAGTTGGCATGATACCACCATATTCATCACTTGACAAAAACTTCCTATTTTCAAGTCATCTCTTGTAGTTCTAGATTTTTCAAGAGATTCAAAAATGCAGAGAATGCTGTTCTTCTTGAGACCCACAAGAAAATGCATGTCAAACCTGAATGAAGTTGAGATACAAATACCTCAAATGGAAAATACTTCAAAACTAAGTTAGAATCAGATGTAGTTCAACTGAGCTTAACATTAATCAAGCCCAGGCTGTTCCTTTATGCGTTCCTAATTACAGAAACAAGCAGGTTTAGTCATTCTGTAGTTAAAGAGTAACTTCAGGCACAGCATTTTGCAACTTCCAGTGATCATCCCATCCCTTTTTCTTATTTTTTTCAGTCCTACCCAAGTCCTGTGGCTTTTGCTGGGGCTCAGAATGGAGTATTACATTAACCATTTATATTATAATCAGTGCATTCCAGTAGGTAGAGGAGTAACTTAGTGCAAGATTTTGTGTACTGAGGAATCTTTGGAGATGCTGGGGAATTCACCAATTGGTGAATAGGATACCAGCTTTTTAAGTTATGCCTTTCATAAAACAAGGTGAGTGTTGGTTTTAAATGCCTTTTCCATGGTCGCTCTCTTAGGCAATTGAATATGGTTCATGAGATGATGCTGTGATCTCATTTTTGTTAGTGCTTAGTCAGATCAACTATTTTAACAAACACAGTTGCTGGTTATATAAATGTGAATGTCTATGAGGATTATATTTCATAGCATTGCAGAGAATAATCCTGGAAAACTAGTCAGTTGTATTTTTAATCACAGAATTGTATAATTATAGAATATCCTAATTTGAAAGGGTCCCACAAGGATTAAGTCCATCTCATAGCCTTGCACCACACCATCCCCAGCATTCACATAATGGGTCTGAGAGCATTGTCCAAACACTTTTTGAACTCTGTCAGGCTGGTGCTGTGACCACTTCTTTGGGGAGCCTACTCCAGTGCCCAGCCACCCTTGGGTGAAGAACCTTCTCTTGATATCCAAMCTAAACCTCCCCTGAGAGAGCTTCAGGCCATTCCCTTGAGTCCTGTGACTGGTTGTGAGAGGAGTTACTTCAGCACCAGTAACTTGTAATTAAGTTTTGAATAGTTTTCTCAACTGTATTCGAATTCCCTCAAAAACTACTTTGTTTAATGTAAAATCTCAAAATGTTCCTGCCTGTGGTACAGTAACCTTTGTATCAACATTAATATTGCTGGCATCTTCTGTTTTTGAAAACTGATGAGTTTAGCATTTATTAATTTGTAGTTTATAGTGACATTTGTTTTACTTACCAAGTTAAGATCAACAAAAAATAAAAATGTGAGGATTTTGATCTTCCAGTGAACTCCAATCTATTTCAGGTTTGGGTTTCTTTGGTGTTTAATGTTTAAATATATATCATGAGGCAGTGTTCCCTCATCTGTTTTGTTTTACAGGCATTTGGGTAACAAAAAGATCACCACAGGAACCAGCTTTTGTCACTAAGCAGAGGCTGTATTCTTGATTCTAGTTTTATGGTAAATAATGGGATATCCTGAGTTGGAAGGGACCCACAAGGATCAGCTGTGCAGGACATCCCAAGAATCACACAGAGACAGAGCCTTGTGTCAAGGCTTCTTGAACTCTGGCTTCAGGTCCTGTCACTGGTCACCAGAGTGAAAAGATCAGTACCTGCCCCTGCACTCCTCCCTTGTGAGGATGTTGGAGACCCCAGTGAGGTCTCTSCTCAGTCTCCTTTTCTCCAGGCTCAACAAACCAAGTAACCTCAATAAAATATTTTAAATGCTTTGTTGCTGCTTTCAGTAGCTTCTAGAAGGTAATGCTTTTTTTACTTTTTTTCTTTTTCATTTTAATTACTGGTTATTGGGAACACACCTGTAGCCTGACTTTCAAAGCTCTATTTTGAGCTTTTTTTTTTTAAATGAAAGAGTATGTGGAATTGTAATTAATTCATTGCTTTTGTATTATTGCATGAATTTTGGTGAATGATAATCTGGAATGGATCAAGAAAAATGTGAAATATGGCCTTTTCAAAGAAAAATAAATATTATTGTGTTTCCTTATCATGCAGCTAAATATTTTGCCTAAAGAATACCCCAGTATAGACAGAGTGTCTAGAAATTCTTGTACYTCAGTAGTGTTAGATGTATATGCTGTAAGAAAAATACAGCATCAGAACCTTTCCTAAACTTATTTATCCTGGTGACCACACCTCTTTTCTGTTTGTTTAGGTGTGACAGATCCATCATCAATAAATCAAGGCAGACAGCTCTGGACATTGCTAAGTTTTGGGGGTACAGGCACATAGCTAATTTTTTGGCTAATGTGAAAGGTGATCAGAAGCCTAGTTTTTTGTCAAATGATGTGAAAGAATATGAAAATTATTTTGGCATGACACTTTTGGACAGAAGGAGTGATAAAAGAACAGATTCCAAGTGGCTAAGTAAAAAACAAAGCCATCCAAGTACAGTATACATCCTCTTCTCAAATCTAAGCCCCCTGGTTACTTTGGGTGGGGGAAGAGAGAGATCACAGCAACCAGAAGTAAAGCTTTGCAGGCTGTACCACAATGCTGTGGAGCAGTGCATGAACCAAACTGAAGAATGTACCCTAATTTTTCTTGGAGTTGAACTTCAGTTTAACATGAGCTTGATGGCTGCTTGCAATGGAAGAGTTATGCAAGACGATGAAGAAGACGGGTTAGTTGCTTGGTTTGCCCTTAGTGTCAATTCTGCTTCTGCTGAAAAATTTAAACGGAAGCTTGAGGACTGTTACTTTCTTCACCCACCAATGCCAGCACTACTGCAGTTACCTGAAAAAGAAGCTGGTAAGATGTATAAAATGCAGCAGATATGAAATGTGTAATCAGAAGGGTACTTTTTAGGATTGACTGAGTTATAATTCAAAGACCAACCACTGYAWAGAAATCGTGTGTTTTCAGTGGCTTTAGAAATATTTTGATTTTATATTTTGATTTTTAATATTTTTTTTCACTGRTTAGTGAACTGCTTCTACTAAGCATGTACATTGCACAACAAGATAAAGAGATACCTTGCATGGATCAAAGTGAAATGAATTAACAGCTTACTCTAGGCACGCACACAATTATGATTTCAATATTATTTGTGTCTTTACATGTCTTTAATATTTGATTTTTTGATTTGTGAAGAATTTTATATGTAAGAACGTGTGCATTTGCTAAGGGCTAATTTCTGCCGTGACAGTATTAGACTCTACAACCTGTGGATCATCATGGCTTTTAAGCTACTATTTAAATACTCATGCACAAACATTATTAACATAAAGGAAAATATCTGTTATTACTGATTTTTCACTGCAAGAAATGAGAACATAAGTCTTTGTAATGATGTGTTGGATACTTATCTGACAAGTGTTGAAAAATCAGGATCCCAAAGTGAATTAATGTTACTATAGACATTAACAAGAAATATTGTTAATGATTGCTGTTTAACCGTTTTGTTTTTGTGTAAGGGTAAAGGGAAGCTTGTCTTGCGCCTTAAGTTTAAATGGAGCAATGCATTGTTATGTCAATACCTGTGGTAGCCCTAAAGTAATCATCTGGAAAAGACTTTACACATAAAATTTTGACACTTTGCCCAGACAGATTGACTTCTATGAAAAACAGGGTGTATTGATCTGGATGAAGTTGTGTCTTGATTGTGTCAATTGTTCTGTAGCTATTTAATACCATGTTTTATTGCATGCGCAGTGTTACCAAGAAAGAGATTTGCATAACTCATATTTCTTAACTTCTTTTGTAGCCATGATTGTGATCCAAGCCAAATTCTTGCTTTGATTTTTTCACATTAAACTTCACTGCTTGCATTTTCTATGCTGTTAATAGCTTAACATGACTTAGTATTTGATTTTGTGCATTTTCAATATCTTGTTTTAAAGGAGTAGTAGCCCAGGCGAGATCTGTTCTAGCATGGCACAACCGCTACCGATTCTGCCCAACATGTGGGAGTGCAACCAAGATTGAAGATGGGGGTTACAAGAAAATTTGCTTAAAAGAGGATTGTCCCAGTCTCCAAGGAGTTCACAACACATCATATCCAAGAGTTGGTGAGAATGTTGTATAATAGTTTCTCAAAGGAGGTTTGTTCATACTATTATGTGCATGTAAATCAATTTATTTCTAGTTATTTCAGCTGTTTGCTTCTGTCCTACGTCTTACATACTTGTTTCTCCGCAGACTATGYGTGTGTCAGCTCTATTTGGTGCTTTAGTAGTTAAGTTCAGGCTTCTCTGTCTTGCAGTAGTCTGTGATACAGAATTGCTATAACAATGCCTTTATTGCAAAATGTATTGTCAATTAGGAATACAAACAGTATAAATGAGATATCAGCAGTAGGAAGGGTCACATTTTGCTTTTTACTTGAAACTAGATGACTTTAAATAAAGAGGGGRAAAGGTCACAACAGGAGAAAATACTAAGGTAGAAAGAAAAAGATACAATGACAAGAAGTGAGAAAATTTGTCAAAGTGCAACATCAATTTAGAAGCTGATAGGAAAGAGTAAGCAAAGTCAAAGATGGAAAGTAGTCAATATTTAGTCAGTACTTGCATTGTCACCAAAGTTCTTTGGTATTCAGCCAAAAACACATTTTTCAGGCCTCTCTGGTGTAGACAAGATGATAAYAAATGAGTTTGCTGCAGAAACTATTGCTATGTGCTGGATACATAGCTGGGTTAGTACTGCTGGTACTCGTAGAAGATTGTGTGCTTTGGTTGCAGGTAACTTCTGCCCTGCATTTCAAGCCTTGGTTAGTGAACTGCTTCTACTAAGCATGTACATTGCACAACAAGATAAAGAGATACCTTGCATGGATCAAAGTGAAATGAATTAACAGCTTACTCTAGGCACGCACACAATTATGATTTCAATATTATTTGTGTCTTTACATGCATTGGTGGAGAATAGGCTGGAAGTTTTTACTGCTTTTAAGCCACTCAAATGTTGAAATATATTTCTTTCATGTCCTTCGCAGATCCCGTTGTGATAATGCAAGTCATCCATCCAGATGGGAGCCACTGCCTTTTAGGGAGGCAGAAGAGATTTCCCCCAGGAATGTTTACCTGCCTTGCTGGATTTGTAGAACCTGGTGAGTAATTTCATTTTACCTTACCAAATTTATTTTCTCAATAACACTATTGTTCTTTTGCAATTATACAAAAATGTATTTTGTGTTATCTCAAGTTACAGGATTTTGCTTTCTGTTAGATGAGCTGTTATAATAATATGCCTATTCTGTACTTTGCAGCCACTGATTCATTTAAAAAAAAGCAAAAAGCAGCTTGATAATAAAGTGAAATAAAAATTTAAAATCGTTTTCTTATGCAATCTGGAAWCACTTAAAAAAAAAGCATTTTAAAACATCACCTTGGGTGAGAATACTTAGCAAAGGATTTTAGCATAAGAAAAGTAAGTGTTAAGTGTAACTTAAAGTTAACAAAGTTTGTTAACAAAGTTAAGCATTTGCTTAGGTGTTCAGCACGTGATTGATTATATGGAAGTAGAAATTAAATAACTATAAAAGAAATGTAAAGAGGTGATTTGATAACTGTATCAAGCAGAAATAGTTGGAAATAGTTATAACTACCTGGACAACGACTTATAAAACATTTTTATATTGGAAATTAATAATTCGTGAAATTATATTGTATAAATATATTTTGTAAACGTGTGCAGGTTGACATACAGTGACAGAGTGAACAGGTTTATTCAGGTGTCATTTGAAAACAGTCAAGATGTTTATTTCTTAAATCCTTTCCTTCTGCTGGCCTGATTATTTTCTGATACTGAATTCAGGTATATAAAGTGACTGTTTAATCTAAACTAAATCCTCTGTCTCTGATGGATATACTCTTTAATGAACTTGTAATCAGTGGTTACAGCACAGTACATGTTTGCATATGTAGGCATGTGACCATCGGCATTTTACACACATATAGACACAGTTTCCTGGGGATATGGAAGCAAAGTTTTCCATTACAGTTTCAGTTTGCAGTATTTTTTGTGTGTCTTAATGATGCTTAAACTCTGGCTTACCTAAAACAGAGACTAGGCAAAATTAAGAGAATAAAAAGCAGTTATATTTTTGAAGGGCCTTCAGGTACATTCAAGGCAATCACAGCCCACCCAGGGCTATACCCAAAATGGACGGGTGCCAGGTTTTTCATGCTTTATAGGTTTTATTCATTTGCATATCGGAATTGAATCCTCCAGTTACAGCTTCAGGTAATTTATAATGAATTTGGAATAATTTACTCCAGATTCACTCGCCCCAGTTCACTGTTGGTTACGTATTTTGAGGTCCTTAGACAGTAAGGTGTCCTTGAGTTTGAGGCTGAGAGGAATTGTTTTGTCTAAAAATGGAAGAACATTAGATTAGCACTGTACACTAAAGAGTTCCAAGAATACAGCTATATGGAAAGTATAGAAACTGAAATTCCAAGGCATCATTAAGACAATGAAGAATGAGTCAGGCAAAGGGAATAGTAAATGCAGAATTGTGAGCAAGTATTCTAAGTCTCTGTTTTCTTACTGTTATAATTYTAAATACTGATTCTTCAAGTTGTAGTACATGCTGTTATAATCATATGGAAAATCCAAAAATTAACACAATGCTAGTTACAAATGAACAGATCAGCATTTCAAGAATAATTCAATAAATTATGTATTTTCTACCTTATTTTTTGACATTTTAGGAGATAAAACTGATTTGTGTGTATGATGAATTATCAATTCAGGAAATAAAGATTATCATGGAGAAATTATTATACTTTATTTTTAAACTTCCATTTTGCTTTGGTGGCTGGTTTTATTAGACTTCTGTGTCTACTGCTGAGGTCTGTGCCCTGATCTGTGAACTAGCTCTTTATAGGTGATTGCCTTGGGCAGTTTCAAATCTTTTGAGTCAGTTAAAAGCACAGGATGTGATAGTTTCTTGGAGTATTTTCATCAGTTGCTTGTTCTTTGCCCTTTTTTATTAGGTGAAACCATAGAAGATGCTGTTCGAAGAGAAGTAGAGGAGGAGGCTGGAGTCAAAGTTGGCCGTGTTCAGTATGTCTCTTGTCAGCCATGGCCAATGCCCTCCTCCCTAATGATTGGCTGCTTAGCTGTTGCAGTGTCCACAGAAATTAAAGTTGACAAGAGTGAAATAGAGGATGCCCGCTGGTTCACTAGAGAACAGGTAAAGTTCAATTTCATTTTCCTCTTCTGTTGATTAGTCTGTGACTCTCTAGGTTCTGGCATACAACAGATACTTGCTTTTTTCAGCAAGTTGAATGAGCATCTATACTCTTCTTTTTATCATACAACTGTTGCATTATATTGTAGTTGTAGATGAGGCACAACCAGAGAAAGACAGATATTCACAGTAACTTCAGAGTCACTTGCAAGCTCATTGTATGACATTTTTGCCAGTTTACTCTTCACCTTTCTCTTTTGAGAGATAGCCAAGTTATTTTTACCCACTTCCTTAGTAAGTCTGTGCTTTTCATGCAGAAGTATTTAATAGTGTTTATCATGGCAATTTCTCCAAACAAGCATTTTACCAGATTTGCTGGGAGGGGAAAGTTAAGTTAAGGACTCTAGGAACTCATTCTTTTTTCATGCAGTGCTATGCAGCAGTGGTATTAAATGGTATACTCTGGTATTAAATGCACCTTACTGTGTGTTAATAGGAAATCCTACACTTAGCTTCCCTCAGTAGTTAAAATAAATAAAAGAGAGGCAGAAAAGACTTTCACAGAAAGAAGTATTTCATTTCACAAGTGAAGGAAAGATTGCTTGCACAACTTAGTTTTCACAGGTTTTCCCACAGGCAGTTTGGGAGCTAAGCTTTTAATAATGGTGGACTTCTGCCTTGCAGTTCCAAGTGTTTTGACTAAGTCAACTTGAAAGCAGAGTTAGTCACCTACAATCTCACTGTGTTTCTGTTAACACTGGGAGCATTATTTTAAATATAGTTCTGAATACAGCTAGTCATATGCAAGTTGGTGTAGAGATGGAAATAAATATACTTCAGAAATGTTCTAAAAGTGTATTGCCATGTTGCTTGCAGCTGCTTCAGAAAACCAAGAAAATACATTTCTTTTGGCACTACATGTAAAAATAAATGTGTTACTTTTGTCGCAGTGTAGAGCATCATCTTGTGGTACTTACCATAGAAAGGCTTCACAAAAACCTTAAACAGTATGCTAGCAAACAGTCTCCTTTATTAGGAAGAAGCACATTAAGCTCACAAATGGGGCACATTAAGCTCAAAATGTCATGATTTACACAATATGGGACATGCTCTGCATTTGCCTTGGAGAACCTGTTAGTGCCTTTTTAATAGCTATAGTAATGGTAGATTGATTATAGGAAAATAATTTCTCCATTAATACGAAGTTATATTCTATRTAGTTTATCATATTACCTTCTAAAGATAAAAAAGACTATTTTTATTGCAGGTCATAGAAGTTTTCATTAAAGGAAACAAGTGCTCTTTCTTCGTACCACCAAGTCAAGCGATTGCACATCAGTTGATAAAACACTGGATTGGAATGAACGCCAATCTTTAATTCAAATAATCAGTTTCTTTGAGTTGCTTCTTCTATTGAATGCTAAATTAGGAATAAATTAGAACTGTTTATCTAGTGAATGGGCAACCATGTTATTTTCCGATCCTTTACTTTGGTTCCAGAGCTAAACTATGCAAACCTTGTAGGTGTTTTCAGGCCTCAGTTAAATTTGGACAAAACTCAGTAATTATCCCAAGCAAGCAAGGAAGCAAGCAAGCAGCAAGTAAATAGAATTGATACTTTGCTGTGCGCAGGCGGGGTTTTTGTTCTAAAATCACATTTATGTTCTAAAATAAAATTATGCCTTTTGCTGCTATGCTTTTAATGTTTGATTTGGTCCTTCTCCCAAGGAAGGAGTCACAACATTACAGAGAGAGCTGTCTGACCTTGCCTGCCATTTGAATTCTCTACTTACATCCTGCTATTTGGCCTTAAGTATTTCTTTCTCAGTTTTGCCTATCTCCATCCTTTAAATTCTACCTGTCACAGAAATCTGCTGAAAGTCTTACCAGCTGTGGTTATTTTTAACTTAATAGCATATATAAATTGGGAATATGTATCTTTTATAGTAGTAATTTAATTTATGTTAGTGCTCTAAGCAGAGCGTTTACTCATCCATTCTGACTTGCCTTGCACTTACTCAATTGTATGTCACGCTGAATTTAAAGGTATGACACAGTACTTTATTTGTGAAAAAGGTGTTGGAAGAACCATCCTGAAAGCGTAAGTATTAGGGCATTTGTAAGATTAAAGTGTACTTGTTAACTCACGAGGCAGTGAGTTTTTCATTCTCTGGTGATTAGAAATGAAATTACAGAGTAATGGAGGAGGAAGAACAAGACGTATCATCTCAAAATATTCAGAAGTTCTTCTGGAAATAGAGATTCTGTTACTGCTATTGAGAAACTTACTGTTGAAAGAAGTATATTAGCTGCGGCTGTAAGAATGGGAAAGCAATATGTTAATTGAAATATTTAGTTATGTGTATTTGATTCTACATTTCAGATTTGTGCCCTTATTTATCATGTTATTTAAGATGTTAATATTTTAAAAATAAAAGTACACTGTTTTATTACAGATTTCATTATTAAATAGTTCGTAGTCAGTCATTCTGCAGTCATTGCAGTGATATCAAAAGAAATGCAAATGACCCAAGGAAAATGCAATTGTAATGATAAATATAAACTTGCTATTATTTGATGATATGTTAATTTGGAGTAATTTAAATTTTTTTAACAGTGAATGATGTAATATTTTTTCAACAACTCTTAGAAAATTGGAATCAGTAAAGCTGTTCTACAAATCCTTATTGTTCTTTTTTCCCCATCTACATCACACTATGCTCAGCAGTGTTGGTGGTTTTTTGATAAGGCAATGCCTAAGACACTTTAAAGCCAGAAGCAATCCTGACATACTTGGAGTGTTTGACATAGTATGTTGCTTCATTCTCTCCCTTGTTTCAGCCATACCTACAAATACAGACAACCAGGTTATCTCTTGAGTTGTCGGGAAAGGAAAAGGAAGCAATACACTGCTTCCCTTAAAAATTGCTTTTACAGAGAGGGGGAGTTGTGGAAGGCTGTTGTGGACCACACTTCCCAGCAGGGCTGCATGTTATCAGTGGCATTATCCTCTTCTAGAAAATTGTCAGATGGAAGGCTGGTTGCGGGTTGCTTGGATAAGTAAAGAAGAACATTGGGAAGTATGCAAACACTGGTGGAAGCTAAGCAATGAAAAGAAGTTTTAACTACTGTGGTAGTTGAATTATGAGCTATGAATAATGACCAGGTGGAAGAGGGATGAGAAAGCATAGAACAAATACAGAAAGCACAAAAATGACAGTTTATCACTTTGGGGTAGCTAAATGTTGGAGATTTAGTCTAAGATGCACTGGAATACTAGTTTTTTGTGTAGAAAATTATTGTCAGTTGCTATGAAGATGGACTTGTAAAAGTGACACTCCAAACACAGTGCCCATAACCAATATTGATAATAATAATCTGCCCAYTTTTTTTATTTGAGAGTCCCTATAAGAGCAGATACCTGCAGTTACAAGGCAAGTAAATTGAAACTTCACTTTCCTTCACTTTTTTCCTGTGTGAAAAAAAAAAAACAGAAAAAGAATCATATGACAAAGGAAACCAGAGTCTCTGATTTTTAGAGTAATGTTTTAATGATCTTTCAAGTCTAATAACTTCCAGTGTGTCAACTATTTTTGGTCTTTATACATTTTCAAAATCTAAGCCTGGCTTTTGAAAAAGCTTTTGAAGCTTTTATTTCCTTTTTCCTTCACCAAAAGATTAAACATTTTCAGGGAAGAAGAAAAATCTCTCTTGTTTAAGATAACTACTTCGATAAATTCAATCTGTTTAAAGGAAAAATTTTCCTGGCATTTTATTGCCTAATTTGCCCTGTTACTAGGTGAAGACTTGAGTTTAATTTGAAAATACCTGTACATTTTCTGAAGGACAGTTGCTGTTCTCTGTTTATGTATGAAATGTCAAATTGTAGAGCCAAATGCTGTGGTTATCTGGCAACTACAGCTACTTAAGAAAGTGCCAAAATAAATTTAGCAGCAATTGAACAGAGTGTAGTCTTTCTTTCTAGAGCAGGGTCAGGGCATCCAGAAGATCTCAGTAGTTCGACAGCAGCAGCTTTTGCAGGCAGTCTGTTTCTTGCCACAAAGTTATTGCAATACTTCAGGAGAATAGTATTACTTAAAACACTAAAAATAGAGTGATCTCTCTCTTTTCTCCCTTGCTTCAACAAGGGTACCAGAGCAAAAAGAGTACTCATGACATTAGATGTACAAGGCAGAAAATTCTGGAGATGACTTTTGTCCCAGTATTCCTGTATACTAAGGAGAATTTCCATGTATTCAGCATATAATTTGAAGATGTTATGTATTTTCTCTATTTTCATAATATCTTGCAAATAATAGAAAGAGTAGCTTAATAGAGAAAGATAATTAGGTCTTTGAACCCAAACTAAAATTGATACTCCTAATGAATTTATAATCTCATGCAATGTACTGACATAGTGTAGTATTGGTTGTGATATTTTTACAAATTTTGCATTTGTYCCTGTAAACATACTTGTTTTAACTCATCTTTCATACTGGATATGTAAACATGTGAAAAATAAAATSATTCCAGTGTTCATTCTATAACATGAGCATTATGTTTTGTGTAGGAGCACTGGCAAATTATTACATTGAAGTAATACAAACAATTATTAAGTATTACAAACTGGTAAACTGGTAAATTATTACATTGAAGTGTGCAACATGTGCGGGGAAAGGGGTGGATGTCAACAGGCTGATTAAAGGTACACTAGTCAGGATGCTTCATGGATTAAATATACTAATCAGATTCTGAGCTTAGCAGACAGAAATAGAAAAAGAAGTGGAGCAAGACTGTGAACATTGCTCCCTCTTTTATCTTTAATTTTAATTAGGTAATCAGACTAATTAAGACTTTTCAGACAAAGCTGACACTTTGTAACTGCTGGATAAGTTTAGTTTTTTTTATTATCCAGTTTAGCTGTAAAGAGTTAAATAACTAGTAGTTCTTTAGTCCCTTGATTGCTTCAGTAATTTGAAAGATATGTATATAACTGCAGGTCATTGCCAACTGGATGTGACGGTACAGAACGGGCTAAGTCTAAAGGAAAAAAAAATTAACATGTTATCCTATTAAGCCTTAGCATGACAGCCAACCCGTCCTTTATGAGCTTAGAAAAGCAAACTATTCGCACACAATCCATAACAGCAAGCAAGTATCTGAGAAGAATGAATATTGACTCATAGCAATGGTAAGTAAAAAAAAATATTTAAATTAAGACTGTTTTAGGTACTATTTTGTAGGTATTTAATAATTACAGCTTACCACAGCTTTTATAAAATATGGGTATTTGGCTGATTTTTTTCACAATGAGAAAGTATGACAGTTTTCCTAAATTATAGAGATTTTTTAAGATGGATATTTGATTCCTAAGACTGTATCAGTTACCTTATTTCAGCAAGTAAGAACTTGAACTTTCATGGTATAAAATTTCAGAAATTAAAATTTACCTGAATTAACTTGGGTGTGTTAGAAGTGTTTTCTTTCTGCAACCAGTATTTCACGTTGGAATATGAGGAGTGCTGTGATAAAACGACAGCATTAATAGCCAAGAAGAAACAGTACATTTTGTTGAGAAGCTTACAAATTCAGTTTGCAGCACTTAAATAAACCTGGATAGTAATTTTTTTTTCTCTGAACATTTCATCATCCTCCTCACTAAGCTATGTTTGGTAAAGTATGTTCTAATTTCTTTCTAAGAAGAGAAGCGTTCTAACATTCAGCTAAGAAATGTAGTTATTTTCTCAAGATCTCTGCCAAAGAAAAAAAAGCATATGAAATAAGCATCTCAAATTCTTTTGTCATTCTAAATCTGTTTTGTGTCAATTGATCATCTGGAGGAAGTGCCCCAGCAATCTACATTGTCAGAAAATATGGTGTCTTAAGGGCTAAGTTTCCCCATTTAGACAACAGAAATCAAAACGTAGAAGTTAGGATAGGGTGATGGGTTTTGCTATTACTGCATTCTAGGAACAAAAGAAGATTTTTCTGGCRTAATTGTAATACATATTTTATAGTCCCAGACATTTTGAAAATAAAAAAATACCTTATTTTCAAAGAAAATTGTTATGTCGTACTACTATCGCACAGGGATTTTTTGATTGGSTGAGTTTCAAGTATAATCAAATACTTTATTCTTACCAATATCTGTTAAGATGGATTAGCAATTCTGGAGCTCAAAAAAAATGAAGTAATTCAGAGACTGAAAAAGAATTGTAGTATTTTGTTGAAAGTAACATCATTGAATATAAAAATCATGTTTCATTATTGGAAATGTTTGTGTGTTATAGTCAGATTTCTCCTAATTTCATGATCAGTTGCTGTATCATGTCTGTAGGATATTTCACTTACTGCTGTCATTTTTGGTGTGGACAAAGCATGAATTCTGCAGATAGCACTCTAAATATCAAAATTACAAACTCAATGACATGAACAGGCTAATCCAGGTACTGTTCATCTTAGGAGGTTTTCGTTTGGTCTCTAAAATATGAAATAAATTAATGAAATATAAAATAAATTGGTTTCTAAATACATCTGAAATAAATGCTTATCTTATTAATACATTATTTCTTCTTTGGTTGCAAAAGCTCAAAATAATTAACCAAAAAGCAAGATTACTTCAAAAGTAGGCAGAAGCTTTGCAGGAAATGAGTTTTATAAATCATTTTGCAAAATTAAGAGCTGCAACCTATGACTTGACTTCCCCCTGAAAAGGCAGAAATGCTTGTATATATACACTCCATGGTTGCTAATCTGTATTTCACTACAACTTTGTTGGCACTTGGATTCTCAGTACTGAGTTAAAATAATTTTGATAACATTTGGCTGACTGCTACCATAGTTGCATTGTCTAAATATAAAATGAAGAGTGCCCTGCTTTAACATAATTAGGTGAACGGTATTCCTATTATTTATTTCCAAAAGATTAGTCAAAATGTATTCAACACTTCACATTGCATCCCTTTCTGCTTATAGAAAATTAAAAAATAATGCAAAATCTAATTACATGAGTTTGGGTTTCGTAAACATGATGATTTATGGCCTACAGGATATTTTTAATTCCTTAGACAGTAACCATCCTTCTCAATCAGAGCTGAAGAAATATTGACTGCTGTTTGGAATTTTCTTGTGATCTGAAAAACAAAGATCCTGATTTGTTGTTCTCATTAAAGGTATCACAGCACATTTCAAGAAATTGAATGGTTGATCAATGGGTCATAGTAAAACACCTTTTGCGGATTGGTTTCACTGACCCATGTTCTTCTGTGTTTCATTTGGGTGCTATGTTCTCAGAGCTAAGTGGATACTGCCATGTATCTACTGAATTCCTTTTGCTAGGAAGCGGATTCTTTGCAAACTTATAATCTGCTTTTTTATTATTCACAAAGTGCTATATGGTACTGTCACAGTCCCTGTAAATGGCTGCCTGCTTCCTTTTTTCTAGATATTTTGCAGACACCTCTTTGAAGACCTTTATTTCATTTCAGGGAAATACATAGATGAAACTATAAGATAATGAAGATAAGATCCATTCCAGCAGAGTGAGAAGCACTGCTAAGACAGGCATTTTTAATGACACATCTTGTATGTGTTTGACATGAAAAATGTCCTTTGGCTACAGTACTGCAGAAATGGATGTTCAGCAATTATTCAAATACATAACGAGGGGAAGCTTGAGAAAGAGAAGAAAGCAAAACGGGAAGGTACTCCAATAGGACACACTTCAGTCAGATAAGAAAAAGGTCAATCAGTGATGGGCGCTTTTTGCCTACTCTTTGTGGAACTACAAGACTCTCCTACGCATCTCGTTCTAATGCCATTGTAAATTATTTGTGGAGCACCTACTTCAATGTATGAAAGCTGAAGTAGGGAATACGCCACTAAACACAGTGTGTATGGAGAATAAAAGGAAATCAATTAGTAAACTTTAGAATTTGCCTAGAGTTGTTTGAGAATCTGAATTGKAAAATTCTGCTTGGTATTTATGGTTTTAATTGTGTCACTTACTTCCCTTTGAGGCACTGAAACAGGTCACCCAGAGATTCTGGGATGCCCTATCCCAGGAGGAGTTCAAGGCCAAGCTGGTTGGGGCTTGGAACAACCTGGTGCAGTGGAAGGTGTCCCTGCTCATGGTGGAGTGTTGGGATGAGATGATCTTTAAGGTCACTTCCAGCCCAAGCCAATTCTATGATTGTATAATTCCCAAGAAAAATTTGAACCATAGGAATTAGAGAGGAAATAATCATTGAAAGAATGGACCAAATATACTTGGTAACTTGAGTAGCAAAGTCAAAGCAATGATTAGTATTAAATAGAGGTATATTGTGAAAAAGCAAAAGACACAATGGAAATGAATGAGAACAAAATTCAGTATCATTAATATCATCTAGAGCAAAGGGGACAAAAAGTAGAATTCTGTAGGATCCAAAGGGAAGAAACCGATGAGAAGGGTTTAATGTTGTTGAAACACAAGGAAAGAGAGGTATAATATTCTTGTTTCAGAAGGGTTTGTTTTGATATGCTGTGACATCATTGTTCTAGAGTTCGTGAGCACTGTAGAATTCAGTGTAGATGTAGTCATAGCAACACCTTCTACAACATAGGTTATGGAATTATAAGGAAGAGACTTACAATCTAAAATGATACTTTATATTATTCTGAAAGAACTTTAATTATTTTGCAAATGTATTGTGTCATAACACTGCTCCAATTCAGCAAATATATTCTCCATATTTTCCTTTCTTTTTTTTTACTTTGTCTTTTCTGACAGTCTCTGTTGCAGTTTTCTGACATGCTTGTTTAGAAAACTTGAGAACACTCATTTTTTCACATCAAATCTCCACTATATAAATGTATAAAAATAAAGTAAAATAACTGCTGAGTTTTCAAATTTGTTTTGTTAAGGCAACTTTTCCTGCATGAAATGAGATGAACTCAAAGTCATTCATTGGAGAAGTATTTTTTTGCCTTTATTATCACAGAGTTTGTTATCACCTGCATTAAACTGAAAGAAACAGCATTACAGATGTTATCCACAATGAGAATGAGCCATTCTAGACAGAACTTTACCTATATTTATAGTGTGATATAAATACAAACTTATTTCTAGAGTGATCTTTTACTCAAAATTAAGATGTTACTCTGAGCTAACCCAAGCACCGCTCTCTGTAGTAAGAATAACCTGTCACACTGAGAACTATGTCAATGGACTTTGGCTTACATCCAGRCAACTGCTGGATGCCTCTATTCCCAGCTAAGCTAATTTGGCTGGTGTTCATGCAGTGTCCAGCAGAAGACAAAATAGTCCCTAAGGCAAGGTCTTATCCTGCAGTCCTGATGCCTACAACTAATCCTTCCTTGAGTCAATAGRTCTATTCACATGAGTAGGATTGAAGGTGATGAAATTCCTAATCCTGCAAACACATCTCAGCCCCAGGACCAATGAAACAAGAATAGACAAGGACAGTGCATGGATAAAACAAAAGTAAGGAACTGGTGCTCCTCTGATCTGAGGAAAACCTTAGAAAAACCTTAGAAAAGAAAGGATGAATTAACATAGGGAAATATAGAATGGACAGCAAAACTATTTGCATCATAAAGTTCTTTCTGTTTGGCTTTTTTTTTTTTTTTTTGAGTATCAACAATTAAACACACAGCAGGTACAATAAAAATCAATAGGTGAATATTATAATTAATATCCAAAAGCTGATTGATTTAGTCATAAAAACATTTGAGCTGGTAAAATTATCACAAATGAACGGTGCAAATAATTATTATAATTTTGATCTATTTGCTACCAATTACATCAATTGCTTAAAAAAAAAAAAAAAAAAAAAGCCTGATCATCCTGTTAGCATACACTGTAAGTCTCATCCTTGACAATAAAGCAAAATCTGTAATTCCTTTTTTATAAGCAACTGTGACCTGTGGCTATTTCTACTCATGATTTCACATCTACTTGCTTAGACTTTTAAATTTTAGAAAGTATTCGATCATTTCCCAAAATCCTGTCATGCAGAGACCCAACACTATCTACCTTCAGTACTTTCCGAGTGTCCCACAACACCAAATACACACAAATTTAAGTAGCAGTAGAACTATTAATTATCTCAGACATAGAATTTCTTCTGCAAAGTCATATGATATTTTACCATTACAAAACGTGGCAAACAAGACATTTCAGCTATGAGGAGAAACTGAAATTATTTTCTTTGTAACTGATCTTTGTAATGCTATATCCTTAATACTCCAGCATTTTTCTTGCAGTGATTATTTTTGGTATTCTAGGTACTTTTTTATTCTTCAATCCATCTTGAACCATGTGAACCTTATCCCCAAAGCCATCATAATGCAAATCCACTGCTAACAGTGGATTACAGATATGCCTATTATTCTTCCCCAAAAATAAGACCTTAAACACTTCATGTATTAAGTGTATCTCTGGCCTGATGTTGCATTCAGCATTCAGTAAAATTGTGAATTTGTTTAATCTGGAGTGTATACAACCGTAAAAGTMACCATCAAATGTAAAGATAAGCTAAAGTAAAGCAGTCATCTGCTTTTAATCTGCAGATACTTTTTAAAAGCACTTTAGCAGTGACAATTAGCAATCACGTTTTCTATATGGAGATTAACCAATTATTTACTGACTATAGAATAGGGGGAAAAATCCCAGGAAAATTGAATTCCTGGGGAACAATAAAAAGTACTATAACAAATGCAAGTATTTTGGAAACACAGTCATTAAGGTCAAGAAGATGAAGGGGAAGGAATTAAGTGTGGAGCATCTTCCTTAAGTTGAATTGAGGGAATTCTTGGAGGTAAAAACCTTTTTTATTTTCAGTTGCAACTTAATCAAATATAACTGAAACCTCAACTCTAACAGTCACATTACTGTTCTCTGTTACACTGCTGTTCCTAAAGTCATAAATATATGCATCAATCTGCAGGTCTTACATACCACACCTCAAACTGATGGGGACTCCATCCTACCCTACACTAAAAACATGTATGAGTCCCAGTTCTTGCCTCTGTGTCCTTTAAAGCCTTGATTTTAAGCTCATTCTTCCCGGTGAAGAGCAGAGCTCAATTGGCAGGTTTGGTTCTCTGTCAATCTTTAACTAAAGACTCCTGAAAAAAGTATAGATATAGCTTCATATGGAAAACTGACAATGTAAACATTCCAAAGTGCCTGCTGTGAGATAAGTGCAAGACTTTTCACAGCCTCGCTAGAGTGCCTTCCAAAAAGACAGAAGAATGCCAGTTTTACAGTCATCGAATGAATGTACACTGTAATGTTCATTCATTCTGGCCTCACACAAAATTACTCAGAAGTAGCAATGACTGTGTCTTGAAAGAATTTTTTCCAGTTGTTTGGCTAGCAATGTATCACTGTATACAGTGATAAGTATCATGAATCTTATAATGTCAATATAGTAGTTTTAAATACTTTATCCTAATACTTACGAGAAGATTCATACATCCTCATTATACCAGATAAATAAGTTTGTTTCCTTAAGAATTCACTCCTCCTCCTTCCGTAATGATGTATTTCATGTTCTGTTAAACAAACATCTAAAGACGATTATGAATTATAACACTTGCAATCAGTTGATTTTTCCCAACATAACAGTTGATTTTCAAGATCTCACCTATGATGTATTAGCTGTTCAAATACTTCTCACTTCAAAGAGTCCCTTCTCAAGAGGAGAAAACAATTATTATTATTTCATTACATATAGAAAATAAGATTTAATTTAAAAGTAATTTTTAAAACTAAGTATTAGTCTCTAAAAATCAGAATCAGATAAAATCATAGACTGTGAAAAGTCAAACACTGCTCAAATCTTCCACAGACTTTAGAGTATTGGTTCAGTCCCTATAGCTGAGACCATGAGATCTTGATTTTAAGCTATTGTTTGAAAATATCAAAATTTCTTCCTAAATAATCAAAAGAAGAAATAAAAAGCATTAGTACCTGCTTTAGAACTTTTCTATTTTTAATTATAACAAGTTAGAAAATCTGAAAGAGTTAGTGAAATTATTCCAGAGAAGCTTTCTCATTATCCGGTGTTTTCCCTCCCACACAGAAAAACAGAACACAGCTTCCATTCTTTCTTAGAAATGAGTAGAAAAAGAAGAAAAAGCTGCAAGAGCAGAAAGAGCTCTGATTCCAGAGATTCCAGAGAATGTAAGTTTACAGAAATATTTAAAGTGATCAGAAACATGTGTGGCTATTATTCATTTACTCATCAAAACAGAAATTCATCTTTGTGTCCAAAGTTGTCTTTTAAATTGGAAATATTTACTCTTTAAGTGTGAGTACATACAGACAACGTCTTGGTGAGGCTAATTTTTTTGTTTTTTTTAATTAAGCTGCTATACTAGTTATTTCTGGCAAAGGCTTTCCAAATATATTGTTGTTCATTTACCTCAAAATTTCATCATTCTTGGTGTAAATCTCAGTGTTAGCTTAGTTTAATAGCTTGTTCCAATCCTGCATAGGTAGGTATCACTATTAAACTGTTRTCTCGAATGGTCATGACCTATTCTAGAAAAACTCAAGCGAGACAGAATGTTATGTCATTGTGTGAATGCCATGAAATGTCACCTCATACAGCCAGGAAGCATTATTTTCTTGTGCTTTGAACTTGTAGCTGTGGATTAAATCTCCTGTGGTTGTGAAAATTTTAGTCAATCCCTTTGTTTGTGCATCTGTAAAAGGATTGTAAAAGCCAAATTCTTAGAATTTACCCCAAACTCCAAGCAGGCAGTRGTATATTGATATACTAGTGTGCTCACAGTACCCAGTGTGCTCACAGTAACAATGTTAATAGTAGGAGTAGAGAAATTTAAATGTAGCTCTTATTATAAGCAAATAGAATACCTTATTACCTAACAAAAGTAAAACTTTATTTTTAAAAAGTGCTAATATATTGATTTTCTCGAAGTGAGTTAATGTTCCCACTCTGTTTATCTGGTCTCACATTACTTGTMACGCCATTATGATAAAACAAGTTAATATTGAAATTGAAAAATAATGTGATGGAAAATACACTACATCTTAAAGATAGCACAGGTATTTTCTATGAATATTGTCTCAAAGCTAATCACACATTTATGATACTACTTAACAAATCTTAGGAAATTTTTTTTTCTCTTTTTTTATCTTAAATTAGATGAACAGTTGTCATCCATTTTTAAATGCCAGCAAAGTGTGGGAAGCCTTGAAAGCAAAGTACATGAGAACCTGTCCCACTTCACAGAGCCACTGGAGGTAAAGGGTGCTGAAGAAGATGGAAAAAATCATGAAAACAAGAATCAGAGTAATTCATATGCTTCTGAAGATAGAGATAGTGAAAAAGAAGGGAAGAAGAAAAATAACTGCCCTCCTAAAATGCTCTCCCCTCAGCAAGATGAAATCCTAGCTACACTGACTTTTGGTGAGTCAGGGGGCTCATCCAAAGGAAAAATTACACTATGGGGCAAGCCAGATTCTACAGAGTCCATTAGCTTGGCCTCTGGAAAAATTTCTGCAGAAGTAAAATGTGGCTCTTTTAATGTGAAAGTAGAAATTAAGAACGTTCCTTTATTTGATTCTGGAACAAAAGTTGTGAACGAAAAAAGGAAAAATTCAAAGAATAAGAAACATTGTCATGAAAGACAATACCAGAAAAGTCAGTTTTCAAAATGTTCAAAGTACCGGTGCCCTTCACCTGACAACTCAGCAGAACACGAGGAGAAATATAAAGGATCCTCTAAACATAAAGTTCAAACTGCCATCAACAAAAGTGCCTCCCTGGAAATAAACATTGAAACAAAAGAAATTCAAGTGGAATATACCAGCAGAAAGAAAAATATCAAGGTTAACATCAAAGCTGGTGAGCAGTCACAGAGCAAAGCATGCAATGGGGAACAAGAAGATAGGTATTGGAGTGAAACAGATTATTCTGTAAAAGAGGCACTGTGTAACACAAATTATGAGTCATCTCTTAGCTTTCACAAAAAAGCAGATTATACATTCCCAGATGGATATACAATTCTCCCTCCACCTAAAGAATTTGCTGATTGTGACAAAATGCACCTGGATACAATTGCAGAAGGGGTATCTTTGTACCCTGTTAATAGCAGAAAGGAATCTGACAGCCTCACTACAGCCTTGAGTGTTTGGGGAGAAGAAAATAGTTTCTGTAAACCTAACACAAAGGGGTATGAAGACCACACCAATGAAAAGGAAGATTTTTCAAAGGATAAAATATATTTCTCAAAAATAAATAATACTAATTGTCTTGTACCTATAAATATCGTGCAAATTCCAAACAATAGGAAGAAATGTGCTAGCAAGAATAATGTATTAGGTCAAGAAAGAAATAACTGTGACAAATACCGAGACACAGGGCCAAAAGCAGCAAGAAGGAAGTCTTTCCCAAATACTACCCTGGATTTACCATCACCAGTTCACCCTAGAAGGGATTCTGGCTTTTATTCACTGCCATCCTTAAAAGTATTGCTTCAGGAGAGCAAAACAGGAGATGTCTGTAACAGGAATACACATATTCCTACAAAATATAAGGAACTTTTTAAGTGTCCTGACTTGACCTCCTCTCTGACAGAGCTTTGCAAGTTTCCTGACTTAACCTCCTCACTGGGAAATTTGAGAACTCTGAAGTCTTCCTGTCAATATGCTATTGCTCCATTTAATCATAATATTACCGTTTATCCATCTGAGCGTGAAGAAGATGTCTCTCTAGATGGCACATGTTTACTGAATGACCACGCAGACTGTGTGAGGCAAGGTGAAGAAACAGAAGAAACATTAATGGAGAGTCTTCATTCCAGTGGTACTATACATGACAAAAAAGAAAATGGCCATGAAAAACCTCTGGGAAACCTAGCCATGTGGGAACAAGACCCTGAGTCTACTGAAGCTTTAGAGAAAGAGAAATCAGAATACAACCCTATAGAAAAGCATGTTGAATGGCAGAACAAAGCTCACCTAGTAAAAGTCTCTCCACTTTCTAGAAGTCCTTCAGATGAATTCATTAATGACAAAGGAAGTAYTAATTATGCATCTACGAAAAGCATCCCAAAACAATGTTCAGCTTTAGAGTTAAATCATGACCCTCATTATGCAGAGTCTGAGGTAACAAATGAAAGGAGAGGGTCAGAACTGATGGACTCTCCAGTGATACCTGGAGAAGTAGAAGGAAGGCTCGTCCAAGATGACACTGCATTGACACCTGAGTATTTTGTCTCTGCAGTAAGAAAAGAACCTAAACTTACCTGCAGTAAAAAAGAAAAATCCTTCCTGTCATCCTTGCTGTTAGATCCCAAGGAGCATGATATGGATAAAGAATTGGGAAGGTTTTCTGAGCTACAGGACATATCTGGGAATATCCTTGTTGAATATGATTGCCATAATAATTCAGCACAGGCTTCCATATTATCTACCTCTTCAGCATGCAAGGAAGAGAAAGAGAATTTCACAGAACATTCAAACATTAAGAAACTATTGGAGACCTCTTGCAGTAAGCAGGCAACTGATGAAACTTTTAGGAGAGAGCCTGGAGCAAATCAACTATCTCTATTAGTCAAATCCGAGTTTGAAGAAATCAAGTCAGAGTTTGAAATGAAGGAAGATTATTATGAGAATGCAGATATCTCCCCATCATCAGTCAAACAGATTAGTCAGAAAGGTAGGTCTTACAAGACTTTCAAGTTAATACCACTAACACACCTTTTGCATAGGAGCTTTTGTGACATCTGTTTCCTTGGAAAATAAATTTATATTAAAAGTTTACAATTCTATAGTTATAGTATGATATGTTAGGCCATGGGGTTATAATGTGCAGTTATTCTGCTGAGGATTCTAGGAACCATCAGCCAAGAAACCTAAATTTAAAGCAGTAATAATAAATTAATGCAGCTTTGATCAAGAAACAGTTTTCCTACACAAAACTGTACACCCATCCTATACATCTAGTGAGAGAAGCAAATACCATTGCAGGAMGTAATAGTAAAAGCTGTTTCCATATAATATGAACTCAGAGCTTTAGATAATGTTTTAAACCACATAAGGCTGGTTTTCATATCCATGTGATCTGTATGAATACTGTATTCTAAGTACATCTCAGTCTTAATTCTGGCTGAACATTTTCATGGAAAGATCATAAGAGGTCCTTTAACCTCTTTTATATATTTGAGAAAACTGAATATGAAAAAGCCTTATTTTTAGAAGCTAATATTTTACAAAATTTACAAGGTATAGAATAAATGCCAAAAACCTTGACTTCTCAGACATGAGACCTAAGTGGTTAAGGACACAGAAGTGAGGTGTATCTGTTTCTTTCCTTTTTCTTTTTCTCTTATTTTATTCTCTCTTTCCTTTTGCCCCTTGCTAAGAATTATCTGCATGTGTTCTTTCTCATACCTGTCATCTCACCTGGTCTGTAACTTTGACCCTCTTTTTATCCAGGACCATGCTTTGATTTTTCTTCATTCCTAGCAATGCTTTGGAGGTCCTACCTTAATTGAATAAACATGTACATCCAGGAAGTAGTAAAAGAATTTAAAGTTTTCCAACTCATTAATATGAATTAAAATCCACTTTTAATTCATTTTAAATACTGAGAATATCAGCCTACTTTGATAAGACATTGGGCAAAGTGGGATTTCATGAGCTTAATAATCCAGTCACATTGGAAAGCAAATGTGGCATTTTTCAGCAAAGAGTAAGAACATCTAGAACAGAGGAGAGGAAGAAATGCCACTGTGGTAAACAGGATGGGGTAGAGACAGTCTAGAAGTCTCTTGGTGTTCTGGGGACTTCATGATTATTGGAGAGGAAAGAACTCATGCAAACGGCACAACAACAGCACTGCAAAGAGATAGGTTTCCTGACTCTCAGCAATGGTCTGGAACAGCGCCCTGGAATGCCCTAGCTGAGTTACATGTCTGTGATGGAGATCTGGCTGAAGCCAGAAAGAGGCTGGACAGCCATGAGGGAACCTGTGCAGGTTAGGAGTTTCTCCCTATTTGCCCTTGCCACTGGCTACAGTCACATTTTCAGAACAGAGTATCACACAAAGTCTGTTTTCCAATTTATGTTTTACCTGAAATAATAATGCAACAAGGAAGTTCATCTGTCTTAACTGGAAAGAAATCTAAACCAGAAGAATCTTCATACATGTCTTGCAAGATTCTTAATGTTCAAGTAAGGGTTATTGTATCTACCCATTGATCTCTTCAAAAAATGTGTGAACACATAGGATCCATGAGCAATTTGCAAGTTTGTGCATTAAAATAGTGAATGGACAAATGACTATGGGAGTATTTAACTAAAGACACTTTTACTTCTCTTGGCATAAAGGCCTCAATATACTTTCTGAATATTTTATTTATATTTATTTATATTTCAGTGTTATTTGTTATTTTCATTTATATGTTGGTTAGATTATTCTTGTACTTAGAATGTTGTCCTGGTTTTACTCTTYCTGATTTTTGGTGGTGGGGGATGGACCAAGAAATCACAAAGATGGCTCCTGTGAGGAAGTTCTAGAAGCTTTCTCCTTCTTCTCCAGCAAAAGGAGCCCTATGCCCTGTGTTTTAGAGCCAATCCATTATGACTCTGAGATTGATGGACAGGCTGCACCTTACACCTCTGTGATAACGTATGGTCTTGTAATTAAGAAGAATTCAAAACAAGATAGGGCCGGCTGCCATGTAGTTTTTAGGTTGTTAGTATTTAGTTTTAGTATCATGCACTGGGGGAAAACAGAGCAGGAGCGTGAGGAGATGTAAGAAAAAAAATTGGAGACCCAAGATCACAGTAAGAAGACAAGTGTTGTGCTGTGCTGTGGTTCTTGAACATGGACAAAACAAGCTGTTCTTGAAAGAACTATTTCTTCAATGAGAGACCTGTATAGAAAAGGAGAGCGACCTTGCTCTGAGGAAAAAACCCTGGCCATTGTAGACTGGACTGAACTGATTAGAAGCCAAAAAAAGGGGGAAGAGGCCTGGCTCCCCCTCACGTCTGAAGCAAGTTGATGCTAAGAAGAAATTGTGTTCTGCGGGGAGAGATGAGGTGCCCCCGTCCCACGTCTGAAGCAAGTGGATGCTTAGAAGAAGCTGTATTTTGCCAGGAAATTTGTGATAGTGGTATTATGCCGCCAAAATAACGGCAGTAAGAACTGAAGGCAGTTCAGCCTTGGAGAATATTCTTTCCTTTCTCCCACGAGGTAAAGAAAAGATTCCCATGCCATCAGCAGTTATRCACTGTTTCTTGGGAAAAGAAGTTCCACAGCTAGGAGCTGTAAGAACTCTTCTATGATGCTGGATTACAACCATAATGAGTAGTTTTGATCTATGTTAAACTTTCATTCCTGCTTCCCTGTGTGGGAAGACATGGGGGGTGGAGAGGGATGATCTGAGAAAGAGACGGGTCCCCGGAAAGGATAACAGGTGTCTTAAAATGTCCGTTTTTATTTTCTTCTCCTTGTAAATTTTTCCCTCTCTCTGTTCCCCTCCCTGGTGCGGTAGTATTCTTAGTAGTTTTCAGTAATWAATCTATTTTGCAACTTAAGTTATTCAGCCTGTCTGACCATTCTCTGGAGCATATATGTATCTTTCTCACAGTTATGTTATGTTATCTAAAAGCCATAAATTTTAGTGTTAATTGGGCTTTTGCTCTTCCCCTTCTGCCTCTCCGGTGGTGGGGGAAGGGAACATCGTGGRTGCGGTTCTTTTGGCTTTTGGTCAAGTTCAAACCATGACATTTTTGGTGCCGTGACTCAGATAGGGAAAAAGCAGGTTTAAACCCATGACAAATGTGGAAATATTAAACAGTGAAAATGCTTATGTGAGTTGTGTAACATATTCCTGACAAACATCTTGTTTTAACTTAGACTTGAAATCAGAAATGAATAAAACCAGAAAGCTACCTTTGAAGAAAGACACCAGAGCGAGTGACAGTTCCCAGGAAGATGCAATAGACCAGTGGGCCAGAAGACGGAAACAGTTCAAAGACAGTAAAAAATGCAGTTCAACTGGAGGAAGTTCCATAAACAGCACAATCACTGAGGGATCAAGTGAGTACTTTAGTATTACACTTGTAAGATCCTCTTTTGTGACTGACACTTTGACAGGATTTTCAGCTAAGAAGCTGGATCTCCAATTCACAATCTGAGTATCTGCATTAGTCATTATCATGACTAGCATGAGACATACTCTCTCTTTGATTAAGCGAAGAATCTGACTAAAAAAAATTTTTATTCTACCATACATCTTCATGGTAGAACATGTTCGAATAATGTGTTCAAATAATATTAAAACAAACTCTGGACACAGACAGGTAATCACATGGAAGCAGGTTTGATTTTATAACAAAAAACATAATCCTGATACCTACATCAAAGCCATGCTGAGCTGGGAATCTTCCCCTCCTCTCTAAAGTAACCAACTGCTCCAACTTCAATCTAGGCTTGTTGTCTATGTTGTCATTCACTGTGACCCCTAACTGTCTCTTTAAGAAATCTGTCATCTTGCCACAGATTCATCAGCTTCCCATAAACAGCATGGGAAGGAATTTTTAAGATGAGCTGCGTAGTGAATTTACATTTCATGCAGATGGAGCCACCAAGCAAGGACTGCACAGTCTAGGAAGTAACACTTATGGTACTTTTTACTTGACAGTTACGCCTCTAGTTTTGCTATTTTAGTAATATAAGAATTACTTTGTAGAGATTAAGAAATGTGCATTTCCCTGTGGAAATATTTTGTGCTACAATGATTACTTTTGGTGCAGAAAATTTTGTTTGTAGATATGTAATCTCCTTTTTGAAGGGTAAATGCAAACCTATAGAAAACTTTCAACTGTAAGACTTCAGTGCAGGTCCAATAGATGATAAACTGTAAATTTGTTCTGCCTCTGTACCAAAGAGGTAATTCCTTCACAACAGAGCCTCATTTCATTGCCCAGACATAGATTTCAGCTGGTAGCTGGCATACCAAGAGGGACCTGAGATATATGACCAGCCGGGAACCCAGGCTTTTTTGAAGCAGTAATTGAACAGCAAGCAGGATACCCTAAGGCATCTAATATGCACTGGCCACCCATGTTCAGGTAACTGAGCCAGTGCCTAAGGCTTTAATGCTTGATAGCAAAGCAGCAGGAATGACTGACATTTCATATGGAAATAAAAATGCTCCTTATTAGTAGCAGTTTTCATTGTTTGCCGCTAAAATCCATTCAAGACGGTAGTTGTAAGATTAGAAAGTTACAATGTTAAAGCCCCTGATCTCAAAAATCCTCCTGGAAGCTATACACAATACAGTAAACTCTTCCTTGATTTCAACTGTAATGTCTCTTAAATATAAAGCTGAATCATAAATTGTGCTGTCAGGCATGTGTTGTTTTCATAGAGAAAGCATAGATATATTTTTAATAACTCAAAGAAGTCATATRAGAGCAAGTTGCAAGAGCTAGAATTGCTTTCTTGAGACAAAGCTTTGGATAACACATGGCGTAAACCCAGAGTGGTCCCCAGAACAGGTGACTGTGCAGACAATTCTGACACAAATTCTTATGTCTAATCATTTTGAATACTATGCCACAGGCCTCAAACTTCTGTATCTTTTGGTTTGGTAGCTAGACTGTTCCTTCATGTTGGCAGACTTAAGACAACTCTGACATATGGAAGCTGCAGCTCCTTGCATTCTTACTTCCAGCACCTGGGAGGCATTTAAGTGTGCTTGTTTGTGACACCCCAGCTTGACACCTGACCTTGAAAACTCAAGATGAAAAGTTTTGGTGTAATTCCACAGTCAGTGTTTTTCTCTAGTTTTGCCTATTTGTCACATTTAACTTCTACTACAATTATAAAAATTCAGCATTAAACTGGCAAAATACTGTGCTGTACTGGGTTGTTTGGTGCTTGTCTAGATTTTAATTTGTTATGCATTTACAGTAGCAAGCCAAAATGAGCCTTAAACATATCAGCATAGTAGTATTTACTTATTTGTCTATTTGCTAGTAGCTTCTTATACAGTTAAGCATGTCATCTCATATTTTCTGCATAATGAGGAAGAAGCCAGTGGATGTGGAATATTTGTCTAGATAGACACAATTGAGCATATTTTCTAAGTGACGAAGTTTTGCCACTTAGATGTATCCAGAAAGTAACTTCCCAAACAAATGTTATGCTAAATAAAGGTTCATTTTTATCTTCTTCGTTTTTAAACTGGGAATCATTTTGCATCAAACAGGATAAACAAAGGAAACTGGTATTTCTCCAGCTGCATTGAATCTGGCTTCATTATACAAGGCATTTCATACTGAAAAGAACATGATGGGTTTTTTCCCGTCAGAAAATTTCTATCTTCAGTTTATCTGTTAGCACAGTGTCTGATGATATATACTTATATATAACTTTCACCATCCAGTCTTAACTCTGAAGTTCCCTCTCCTGGGGTGCTTGGGATGTTGTCATACTATTACACAGCCTTTTTCTTTACATCCAATTTGCTGTTTATATCCTGTCATACAGCTAGCTGCCTGACATGCTATTGGTTTGTGAGCCTGAACTTTAGCAGAGAACTAGAGCTTTCCTCCATCTCCACATGCACTCTTTGCAAGATATTGTGAATGTAAATTAATATAAAATATGAATCTGAAAACCCTCAGGGTAAGACATCATACAAATGGGCAACAGGCTATGAAGGAACTAAGCAGAAATTCTATGTTAAAAGAAAACACCACCAAACTATTATTTCCTCACCTCCTTTTTAACTTCATACATCTGGAAGAGATAAGATTAAGCAAACAGCAAATATGGTCATCAATGCCCCTGTCGTATAAGATACGTTTCATCCCCTCTTTTGTCTTCTGATAGCAGAACGCATGCTAAATTTCTACATTTGCTTGATTTCCTAATCAAATGGACCACATTAGAAAGCTAACTAAAGCCAAATTTGTCTTTAAAAGGTGCAAGTCCTGTTTTGACCATTAAGACTTCACTTCTTATTCAAGTCCAGCATGCATTATCCTCCAGTACTGTAATCTTATATTAGGAAATCTTTGCAAATTTCTCCTTTAATGGCAACAAAATTGAGGAACTCAGTACAAATATTACAAACAGTTCATTAAGGAGCTTGTGGCACTTCCTCTCTGCTTACTGGCTGAGGTTTCTTATTCTTCATGCATTTGCCCTACTGACATGACTTTTACTTGTTTTATCATTGTTACAGTAAATTCAGAGGATGCTCGATCAGTAGATCTGGGACTATATTCTGAAAATGAGGACAGAGGTTTTTATACAGAAAACTTTCATTCTGCTTCCTGGGTTTTCAGAGGAGATGATGTCTCTCCAGATAACAGTCCTAGATGTCTCAGCAAAAGACCTAGACCAGTAGCAAGTAAGTTGGCTAGAGCAACAGGTAAGAAATGTCATAAAAATGTATTTATTTTGGGCACTCTGAGGATTTCAGAAAAGATGCTGGTCACTTATACTAAAGAAAGGAAAAGGAGCAACCCAAGAATCTAAAAGATTATTTTAAAAATAAATAAATAAATAGTTCTTATTTAGCTATTGTCTTTCAAAATGTCATCATTATTCAACAAAATTGGAATTGATAGAAGGTCATAACTAAACCTCAAGAGATAAGTGTAGAGGTAATGTAGTTCCGCAACTTCTTCAAGCATGGCAAAATCATAGATATTTATGGTTATAAAATAGTATAATGGTCATAAAATCTGTTCCGCATCAAACTTTCAGACACAGTCAATCCAGAAAGAAAATAATCATTTGCTAGGAGTATGAAGAGTTATTCTATTTGTTTAAATCTTGTTGCAGATATAGTGAACAACTTTTTGTGAGGGATGGGAGGTTTTCCTTTAGTTTTCAGATGTGAAATTACTCCAAAGTAGCACAATTAAAAGAATTAAGGCACTGAAACACACCTGTAGCTTTCCAGGAAATTGTTCTTTGTTGGAGCTCATAAATCATTCAGAATATGAGAGAAAGCTAATGTCCTCTATAAATCCTCTGATTTGAAAAATTTCCCTTAGCACACATGAGAATATGCTACAAAACTATTTTGATTGCTTATTCTCCCACAGGACAGCTCAGAACTTCAGCAAGATAGTTAAAGTCATATTGAAGTACCTATTTTGGACAGGTAACATCAATTGGCCTACTAGTAAAGTAGCCTTGAAAGCAATTTCTGTCTTCCAAATAGTACACAATTTGCAAAATTTGCAAAACCAGATACTGAGAAATTAAGTTTACAATGAAGTCCTTCATAAGCAAAATATTTGCTAAAGAAGCAGGCCATTTAAGTCACAATAATAATACCTCTAGACCCTGAGAAAAAGATGGATGTAGGCAGTTAGACCCTGATCTTTATTTTTATTGAGGCTGAACACTCTAGGTGTTAAATTCTGCTGAGTTGAAAGACATTTCGGATGGGCACAACCAATTGTGGCAGAAGATGCCACTGTGGTTGGGGAGGTTGGACCACAGGACAGGAAAACAGTGAAGTGTGGAGTGGAAGGACAAAAAAAAGAGGAAACAGCAATCCAAGGGATAGAGACCTTCTGAAATGTAAAAAAAAAATGAAACTACAAGAAACAGATTTAAATCCATTTGAGAAATTAGAGTGTATTTTTTATTTGCAGCATAGAGGTCTGACACAGAGAACGGGAGGTTTTCTCTCCCAAAACACCATCAGTAGAGTGCAATATCTGAATACTTCTCCACTTCATCATTACAAAGTCCAGGTACTCAATTTAAACACTGTCTGCCCTAAAATGAATTATATTTGATCAGTTGCAGTGTGGGGAATGTCACTTTCTGACAACAAGCACTAGACAGCCAGGAATGATAATTGGGAGTACCCCGTCCATTTGTAGAAGCATTAATACTCAGTGTCTRTAAAAAGTTTCAAAACCAGGCTGCTGCTTATTAAATTTAACTTGTAGAGAAAAAAGGTATCTTTCTTCCCATTTCCAGTTCGAGAAAGAACAGTGAAGATTGCTAAAGGGACTGGCAATTACCCTTGGGGTTTCAGGATCCAGTTCTCCAAGCCTATCCTTGTGACTGAAGTTGACACAAGTAAGTTGTGTTTGTACTGGTTAATTTGTCCTGTGGAAATGTATAAAAATAAATATATAATAGTATATCATGTACATTGATATAATGACAGGAACCTACATGATATGATCTATATAGGATAGAACATCTGTTTTATATTAATTTATAATATAGGTGTACACAATAATTGCCATAATTAGTGGATGCAAGGTGTTTAATAGCATGAACTGCTCATGGACAACCGTCTTAGGGCCCCAGTATTGCTGGGGGTAAATTAGACTCCACTGTTCCGTCTCCTTCCATGTCAGTTCACGCCTTGTGCAAATGCCTATGCTCAGCCTAAAACTTTTGTGAGCTTTCATCCATGAATGGAGAAAATAGGCCTTTAAAAATGATAAGGAGGATGCAGTGATCCTTGTAATATTCCAAAAATCTTATTGTCTGTGGACACTTCTGCTTGGGTCCATCCAGCCATCTGTCAATCTTGACAGATGGGCTGTTAACTTCTTCAAGCAATTACAAGGATTGTGAGGAACACCAGAAGAAACTCCAAAACCCAAGTGAGTGAACAAAAAAAATGGCAGATGAGTTTCAACAAAGATGAAATATGAGATACTGCCTCTAGACAGAAATGAGCTGTACCATCCTTAATAATCATGTTGGCACTTCTGCTCAGGACTGAGATCTTGGGAGCCACCACTGAAAGGCCTCTGAAATCATTGGCTGTGTGTATAACATCAGCTTAGAAATCTGGCTAAAAGCTGACTCAGTCACAGCAGAGAGAATGAGACACCAACAGCCAGCCATTTTACTGTTGCCTAACACCTTGGCTCATCCAAATCTAGACCATTGTTTGGTCTACTGCTCTGCATCTCAGGATGGTCACAGTAGAATTAGATAAGGAGCAGAAGGTACAGGAGACTGTAATAGATTCTTACTAAAAAATCAGGTATTATACAAAATGCCATCCCGTATGATGAAGACTAGTGCATGCCTTCTGGCAAAGCATGGGAGGATAGCACTGTCACTATCACCAGCCTTATATATTAGATTGTCCAGCATCTTGACAACACTGGAAAAGCCTGTGAATTCAGAGACCTGTGAGTTCAAAAGTTCTTTACCTAAGTAGAAGTAAAATCATGGGTCATGCATACAACAATAGCTCTGACACTTACCCATTTATCCCTGCTAGGCAAAATTAAGTATAGCTACTCACATTTTATTTGTTTATTTGTATGTTGATTCCAAATGCTTTAAAACAGCAACAACATTTTAAAAAAATAGGGTTTAATTCAGAATGAAATTCTCGGAAAATTGTGCTTTCTCAAAATAGAACTAATTTCATTAGGAAGAAATTGTTCCCTGTGAGGGTGGTGAGGCACAGGCACAGGTTGCCGCAAGAGACTGTAGATGCCCCATCCTTTCAAAAGTTCCAGGCCAGGTTAGATGGGACTCTGAGCAAACTGGTTCAGCGGAAGGTATCCCTGCCTATGGCAGGGAATTGGAACTATATAATCTTAATGATCTCTTCCACCTGAAACCATTGTATGATTCTATAATTAATATTTAATAACATTGTACAGACCACTTATGGTCATAAAGTCTGATATGGGATGCTCAAGGACAGCACAACCCAAAAAGGTTCTGACATTTGTAAATTTGCAGATGATTTGTCATACACATGAGGGTGCCCCATGGCTTTATTGTGCCTGTTTATTATTAAGCTTTTAATAATCTTAGCTCTACAATTTCAAAGTATTAACAGAAATACACTGAAGGATCACATTTACTGCATCATAGTATACAAAATCTTTAAAAGCATACATTTGATGTTAAGAACATGAAATAATATTTTCCAAAATCATTTTTTCTCAGTACATAAGGAGTGCTTATTTACAAATGTGAAGATAAATATCATATCTGAGAAAATTGTAACTGGAGTTTAAGTGACTGTGTTTTGGTGGCCATGAATAGACCGTATTTATCATCTCCTTAGTTTGCTTCCATTACTAGCTGGCATGTGTCTGAGCAGTGTTTTATTACAAATGCATGTGTTTTGCAATGGTTAACAAATAAACAAAAGGTGATGTATTAAAAATATTATTCAGTTCTTCCTTCATTGGCACCTTTTTAACTTACCATATAATTTCTTCCTAAAGGCAAAAATCCTCAAATTTATTTATCCAAATTTATTCCAAATTCAACCAGGAAAGACTAACATCAGTACAGAAAGTACTGTTTTTGTGTCAAATTCAAAGCTCATCAGAATCATAGATTTTTTTTTTCCTAATGATTCTACTGAGCTTTGCATCAGATCTTTGCACCTCAGGCCAGAATTCTCAGATACTGAAATGCCTTGTTGCATCTTAAACCATTTGAATCCTAATGGCATTTAAAAATAAATTTCTTCACTGCTATTGATTTTCTAGTGCTGCACCTGTATCCAAAACCTGAAGCTTCATTTACAGAAGAGTAATAGATTGCTCAGTGAAACTTGTTCCACCTCCAAGTGGAACATCATGAAGGCCCTAAAACATAATCCTTGACTGGTTAAACAGATACTTGTTTTGCTGGAAAAGCTTCATCATATAGACATGCTTGATAGCCTCGGTATAAATAAATTTTTGGGGCGTTTTCTTGTTTCGTTTGGCTTTTTTCTTTCTGTTTGGTTTTGGTTTTGGTTTAGTTTTTTGGGGTTTTTTTGTGTTTTTTTTAAATTTCAGATAGTGCAGCTGAAGAAGCAGGGCTTCAAGTTGGGGATATGCTGATAGCAGTCAATGGAACTGATGTCACCAGCATGCCACATTCAGAAGCTGCCAATCTGGCCAGAAAAGGTAATTATGAGATCACAATAAATTAAATGAATGGGTCAGGTTTCCTGCTCCAAATACCTCCAGGCAAACTGGGTGATGTATGCAAGATAAATCTTAATTAGTAGCTTAATACGTTAATATTTAATACAGTAGTATTGCCGAAGTCACTTTTTTTTATCTAGACCTTGTTTTCTAGACACATAAAAAAACAGATATACAAACCATTCCCCAATGAGCATATGTGACATTAATGGTTTTGGCTCTCCTGTTACAAAGAAAATTACTCTGAAAGCCTGAAACCCTGACTGCAGAGACACAAATGCCTTATTTACACCTTATACTTCTTCAGGGACAGACTTCACCCTTTCCTCCCATTTCTGTATTGCCAAGACTTGAAGTCTAGTCAGGAGATCAGAGAGTTTATTTAATGAGACCCCCTTTTACACCACCCCAGAAACAGAGTCAGCATATATTCTTCCTAGAATTGTGAGGACTAAAACCCAAAGTCAGCCACATTTGCATGCTGAAAATTAATTTTAAATTCATTTACTTTTGCATGCTTAAAATTAATTTACTGCCATACTATTATTTATCCAAGATAAAGTTTAGACAAAGGCTTATGGGAAATTCAATAAATTAAAATACTTTTACAAGACAGGGACAAATTTAACTTGACACATACTATGTTCTTTAATTATAGAGGAGCCACTCACACTGTTCTTTCATTTAAGAGAAAGTTGAGTGTTTTAGCAGATAAATTTCTGATTACTGGTATTTTTAACTCCTCAGAGAGCACCCCCTGGATTAAATCTTGGCACACAGACAGCATTCCCAAAGATAGTTGTCCCCAAAAAAGAAAGCTAGCAAATGTTTTGCTGATGAAAATGTGCCATAGTCACATTTCTTAATCTGCCTTCAGGCACTATTACTTGCTGTTTAGTATTAATATAATTAGAATTTCAGGCCTTTAGGGTCAAAATCATAGATATATTGATACTGTCAGCAAATATTATGATATAGCATCTCATTGATGAGGAAGGTAATGTATTTTTTTATTTTAATCTTGCAATCTGTCATCACTTCTGAGTGCTTACCTTTTGCAAACAGTAAGTAGATACTTTAGCATGTTAGCTTCCAACAGCCACCTTCCTCAGTGAGTGGCACAGAATAGGTTATAATACTCCAAGGCATGGAAAATAAAGAATTCTCAAGAGCATATTAAGATGACAGAGACTGAAGGTCTCAGCAATTTTTGGATAAACTCCAATTTATACACACCCATTTGAGCAATGAAATCCAATCATTTCTCCTATCTGATAAAATAGACAAGCACCAAAGATGCTGCTTGCAGAGATAGGTCAAAAAAATTGGTTTAGAGGTGTCTTCAGATAGCTGGCTCCATTACTAGTCCTCAATACAAAACTAGTTTCAGTCCTAGATTTGTGTTTTAAAAGGCCAAATATCACTTGATTTAATTTGCTTCCTTGAATGCTCTGCTTCTTATTGCTTCTAGAAGCTCCATTGGGAAGGACATGGGTGTGGGATAGAATACTGCCTTCCTGCTCCTTACCCTACATGAGCATTCAGAAATATTGTCAGAATTATAGTTTTGACCTACTTTTTCACATGTAATATTTTAGGTCCTGATATCCTGACTATGGTAGTGGGATCAGACATCAGCCGTTACCCCAACACCCCGAGACCTACCTGCCGAGGATATCTGCACAAAAGAACACAGTCTGCCATACTGAAGGGCTGGAGGAAGAGGTGGTTTGTGCTGAAACATAATGGTTACCTACACTATTACAAACATAAGAAGGTAAGGAGAGTGGCTGGTGAGGAATCAAACTGTGCCCTGAATTGTGAAGTGATTCAGTTTTGTACTCAAATTTACAGATCATTAACTTGACTTGTGGTATTTACAGAATAACATCAGTGCTACAGGGTTTTGTATGAGGTGTATAAGGAGGCTTGTTGAGTGCTCTTCTACTGTTCTCTATCCCTCTGACATTTCCAACAGAATATCTGGTAGTCTTGTTTCTCTCCATCTGTCATGGTACACACATGAGACTTCAGGAATATGCTGCAGAACCACTGGGTACACAACAAAACAGTTTGGCCAGTGCCTTATTTCAGCACTAGCCATTCTGGTGTCAAAACAAAAGCAAGTGAAAAACTTCACACTAAAAAGATGCAAACATGTAGGAACATTCTTTTAGAGACAAGATTTTATTTTATCATAACCAGATCCATCACCAAACTCCTGAAATGTAAAAATGGGTATCTAGTTATACTTTATGAACACTTTTCCATTTTCAATCAATTAAATATCTCTGATGACAAGTGTTAGATAAATTAGAGTGAGGATTAGATGATGCCCCATAATCTTCTATTCACTAAATCTTTAATATATACACTAAATCTTTAATCTTTTTATATTCACTAAATTTTAATTTCTTTCTTTCAGCTAGTAGGTTTATTTTAATTCATTTGTTCCTCAATTAGCTTATTTATCTMACTGAGAAAACAAGTATTTCAATCAAGCAAACTATGTGCATTTCCTTTTTCTAAAAAAAGAAATTTAAAGCACTGCATTCGTCTTTTATAGTAATAGCTAACTATTGCTTTTTTCTTGCATTATCCTAAACTAGGGTCACTTAATTACTTTTTAAATTATTTCGTACTATTTTTTTTTACTCTCTCTGTCTCTGGACTCCAAAGAATATACTGAAGTAAATACAAATATCGTTCTTCACTACTGACAGATCCAATGCCCAAGTGGAATAAGAGGATTTTCAAGTGTACTCATTGGCACTTTCTTCTGATATTTCTCAGGGCATATAAAGAAGACTGCTCATCCCACTTTTTTTTCTAAGGGAATTACAAATAATGTTCACTGTTTAACACAACTTTTATGTTATATGTCACCTGCATGATTAAATTGGCAGTTAAGTTTCAGGTCTCGCCTCATTCTGGAGGAATTTTGTCACTTACTGTACCTAAGATGTTCTTGGAAAGAGTTAATTGAAGGTAGGAGTAATTCAGAAAGGAAAAAAAAGTTCAGGATAAACTGTCGGTCACTATCCAGCAAACCAGCCAGGGTAATTAATTTACTCATCTTCATTCTGTTGTTAAGAACATCAAATTACATTGGTGTATTTCCAGTGACTCCAGAAAGGCCATGCCTGATTTCCTGTCTGGTGTAAGACAACTAAGCCTGAAATGTTACATATAATGTTTTGTAGTGGAGAAAGAAACAATATGTAATCATCTTATGCTTTTGTCCATATYAACAAACACAGAGATCTAGATTTTCTCATATTTGAAATCTACAACTGGAAACTATCCAGCCTGAACTTTCTTCTTTCCACCTACCTTGAAAAGATTTCTGGAACTTTTTACATTTGACTCTCCCATGTAATTGCTGCTCTTTCGGAGTCATCTTTTGCCAATCACACACAGGTGAAGTGATAGCTGTTGCAAGATATTCAGTCACTTCACATGCAAGGTCACTTTCTTTTCCCTCAAACAGATGCACCACTGTCCTTGACCCTACAATCTATATAAGTAGTTAAACATATTTTTCACCTCAGTGGTTGGAGTGGTGTTTGCCACCTCAGAGCAGAGGTATTTGGCACATTGTGTTAGAACTCAATTTTTTGTAAATTGCTGAGATCAGCAGAGATAAATTATTTCTAATACATTTGCCTACACTTGGCAACCGTGGAGTTCCAATATATGTTATACAGTTCTGAACCCCTGTTGTCCGGAACGCTGAATCTTCTCAACTGTGCTATTTCCTTACTTTTTAACATGTCCAGTTTTTCTCTTAAAGGAAAGGTATCTGGAAGTTACGATGAGACAAACAGGAATGTACACTTAAATCCTTCCCTCAGGCAAGTATAAGCAGTCAAGATTTTTGTGCTTGAACTAATAACATTTTTTGAGGGAAAGCTGAAAGCGCATCAGCATAGTCAAGCACTGGTCCTTTCTTTACGGATAGCAATGTTTGCTCCTTTAAAAGTACCATTGGCTGCTTATCGCAGTAAAGAGCTTCAAAGTCACCACAAAATGTCTGTGGTGAAGACTTCTGTATAGGGCAGAAAAATCTTAATCTACATGAAACTGGTGTGGTAGCAAAAACAATCTACCTCACAGCAGCAGAGCATCACTTTTAAATCTCTGAGCTGTCATTAGCAAGTCACTTTCAGAACACAAGAGCTGACTTGAAAACCTTAAAATATGCTGCAGTTTTCAGGACAAAAAAAAACCTCATCTTTTGAGTTCATTAAAAAACGTATAAAGTACTCTAATATGATTTCTGGGACCCAGAACAAATGAGACATTAATGGGTTTAAAAGACCATGGAGCATGCATTCATTTATCATTTATTTAGCGCCTGGTAGAGTGCTAACAGTGTTTGAGGTTCAATAAGAAAGCACAAGGATTAAGAAAGCCTTATAGCCAAAAACTTGCTTCCCAAAATTCCTCATTAGAAATATCCATCATGTAAGGAGTTCCACTAATTTACTACCAGCTTTTGCAAAATCCTTCGAAGTGCCAGTGAAAGCCAGAATTTCATAGCTTCAATTAATCGTTGTTTTCTTGCTAAGAAAGACTGGATACGTAAAAAAAAAAAACATGTATAACAAGTTCCTCTCTGCTTTTTTTCTTGCAGTGTTTCTAGGAGTTATTTCCAACCCCTTTGACATAAGTAGACCTTGGTAAAGAGGATATCAAGACAGATAACTAATCTAGTACCTGGAAAGGAAATGAAAGTATCAGTATCATTGTGGTTATTGACCAGGAGAAACTCCAAAGAAGCTTGTCTCTAGAAGGAAAGCATTATCAATATATCTGTGCTGCAGACTTTCTTTCCAGAAATCAAAGACTCCTGAATTCTAGTTAAAACAGCTTTATCAGTTTCTTATATTACATTTGTCATTTATGCCATTTCACTCTCCAGTTCCTTCAGCTATTGATGTGGAACTACAGTAGCTAGGAATAAAGGTCTAAAGAGCGTGAGTTTGGTGTCAGCATTTTGTATCTTTTGGACTCCCAAGCAGGAAAGTCAAAAGAAGAAGTTGTAATAAGAAGAAAGTAGGAGCAGTTAAGCTGGAAAGAGCAGTTTGGTTAGAAACTCTTGTCCTGCCAGATCTGAGCATGCTTTTTTTTTTTTTTCCTTCAGTAGGAAAGAGCATGCTTTAGAGATTCAGCTGTAGTGAGAGATTGAACTATGCATAAAGAGCAAATCGACTTTCATGTGTAGTCCCAAGAAATGTTCTTCATTATAGTTCATGTTTGTGATGCTCTGAAACATGCTGTAAGAAAACTGCTACACATACTCTTTAGAAACACGCTTACTGTGGCAGCAGTGAAGGACGGGAATGTGCTTTTTGTCAGTTTTTATTATAATTATATATAGTAATATCAGTTCTAAAGAAAGTTATTATTTGCATCTCTTAACCTCACAAGCTTAATGTCTCTATGCCTAAGCCCATAGGCCCTTAGGCTGACAAACTATCTCAAAGCTGAGGGAAGGGCAGTAGGAACAAAGATATCCATTTTTTATCATCCAAAACATTAGACCTCAACCTGGTAAACAGCTATATCAACTAAATCATCAGATGTTGGGTCATATGCTTGTTTCCATTAGAATAGAAAAGAGAAGAAAAAAAAGATGTTAAATTGTTTTTGTTTCTGTGGTATATAGAGTCCAATGATTGCACCAAGCAAGAAATCCTCTGCCTCCCATGTACAGAGCCTTCACAGCTTTTCAATCTATGAAAAATATTAGGTCCTTTGTTCTCTTGAGAAATCCTGTGTGTTCATTGCTAAGCATAATCACTTTATATAATATATATAGTTAGAGATAGATTAAGGTCTGAGACATTGCTCATAAGATAGGACTTCTATTTTCCTCTTCATTCTTGCTTGGAGCTTTATCATCATAGTCTAGAAGTTACCACATTATATAGTATAATCTTATTTCTTTACACTTTCTGGGGCTCCAGAATACATTTTTCCATTTACATTTAAGAATCTGCTGAATCCACTGTCTCAAATACATCCTATATATTGTATCTATTGATAAATGAGAAATCATGCTAGCTCATGATATGCCTGAAAGCTCATGATTGGCCTAAAAGATTGTATATCCCGGCCCAGAGGAAGTCATACACAGATAAATTATTTGATCTGATTCAAATTGTTCAAAATCAGTAGTTCTTCCTGTGAGACTTGGTTTGCAAAGTGTTCATTACCTTTTGTGCAACTCATTGGAGGAAGTTATTCAATCTCAAAAAGAGAACCACCTGGAATGTGGAGATTAATTCCGTGAGACCATTTGGCTGCAACTCATCTGACAGCCAATACTGTTGGATTTTGGATAAGTAGGTTTTTCAGATAAGAGATGCTTTTAAATCCTTTTCCTATATTGCTTTATTCTTCAGTATGTTTATACTCTCTCTAGTTTAGATGTAAATAATTTAAAGCAAAAAAAAAATTTAAAACTAAGTAAATTCATCTCTACTGGCAAAAAGTGCCATACAAACGATTCTGGAGACTAGAGCTCCCTGTTCACTGACATATGCATACCCTTTCCTCAAGGGAGAAGAGCACAGATGTAAGAGAAAAAGACACAAAAAGCCTTAGTCTATTCTCTGCACTGATGTGCCCAACTCAAAGCAAGAGTAAATGAAAACAGGCTTTAGCCATAATTTCCTTAAATAACCTAAAAAGTTCATTGATTAGGAAAAAAAGACATAGAGAGAAGATTCTGGTGATATACTAAGCAAGCAGTAACAAACCTCAAACAGGAGCTTGCAAGAGAAAACCAGAAAAATAATGGAGAAAATGCTGAGTGCCAGGGAGGGTACCATCCAGCTATGATGGAGAAATCTAGGCAAATAAGAAATAACTAAAAATTTTCAAAAGTTTGGTTTCCTGTCTCATTTTAAGAATGCTGGAGCACATCCAGGAAGATATTTTTGAAAGTCAATCAAAAATTCGGTCATGCCACTACTGATCTTAAACTGATCTGAGCCACTGACCTTGGGGCAGCTGCCTCGCACTCCTACTGCCAGTCTCCCAACCAGCCAGACTTCCATTTTTGCTTTCTAGCTCTGCTCAGTTTTCACATTGTCTTTTAGATTCCTTCTTGGATTGGATATTGTTTTCTGTTTTCTTGGTTTGAAAGATAGGTGTTTACTAATGAAGGAAGGGTCCCCCCTTGGAGTGGTGGGTATGACCCCCCCCCCCCTTCCCTCCAAATTATTATAATTTTGAAAATTATGGGCTTTCAGGTAAGAATATGGGTGAAAGGGAATAACAGTTTTTACTAATATGTATAACTAAGTGAAATAAGTAACAATAACGATAGCAACAACTAACTTAGTCATAAACTCAGTGACAGCTTTACAGAGACACAGCTTCTCTTTTGATGCAGTTACAGTCCCAGTAGGCAGGGGCACTGTTGGCTCCTGGCCAGGGAGGGCTGGTGCGATGATTCCCCAGCAGCTGCAGGGGGCGCTGTGGCACAGGTCTCGGCTAGGCTCAGATCTCCCACATAGCCAATGGTGGACACAAAATGGCAGAGGTGGATGGAGAAAAGTTTTTCTGCAAACTCACAGCGGAAACGCCGATCTCGGTGCTTCTCTGGATAGCAAGAAACCCCAGGATGGCTGTATGAGTAAAGAGATGAGCAGAATCCTGCAGCTGCAGACGGGATGCAGCAGAACTCAACTCTTGAAGCTGGAGTCTCAGGGGTCCCTGGCAAGGCACAGGGCAGAAGATCACAGGGCAGGGAAAGAGGAACTGATGAGCAGAGACGCTGGGCTCTGCAGAAAAGAGCAGGCGAGCTCTTCTCCGCAGGTAGCAGGTCGGCCTCTTTCTCTGAGCCAAGCAGGGCAGGAAGTGAAGTTACCCTGCACCACACACGCACACCCCCTCCCCGAGCCCCAAAACTCCCGCGAGAATAGAAGTGCTCTCGGGAGGTTTTCGGGTGGGGCATGGGTCTTATTGTCTTTACTAATCACTCAACCATCAAAAGGATGACTTGGCAATCAGTGTATCCAAGCAACAAAATGGGAAAGAAAAGTTCTCCAAGAAAGGAAACAAAAGGAGAAACTTTAACTTACAACATCTGTAAATTTATTTTCATTCCATTTTACTAGTACTTGCAGACCCCTTAATATTAATTTCATTTCATAGTTATTCCTGCTGTTAATTTTTTTAAATTGGAAATAGCATGAAATGTGCTTCTCCTTAATAATAGATGAAGAAGCATAATTAGGATAGCACATATAGCTGTGCTTGAACAAAATTTGAATACAATGAATAATTTTTGAACTACTATGAATGGCAATACTGAAATTCTGGAATTACTTCTACCAAATTAAGTAGGGCTGTATGTACTACCCTAATGAGGATTTCATACAATAAAGGAAGGACACATCTAATTTTCTATTTTTATTTCTTCCTGACATCAGTCTCCCATCATTTTACATTGTTTCATATCCTAATTTTTTTTTGTGGAAACATTTAACCTAAAACTCAGATAATCTCAGGAATGATGATTCCCTTGGCATTATGGGAAGAGTTACTTCAGATGTTTCTCCTGATCATGGAATGGCATGTACCAAAGCAGCACCTGCCTCCTGCTTTCTGCGTAAACAACTTCATGCATGCAGACTGCCTAGAATTCATGAAATAGCTGATCACAACCTTTAAAGAAAGAAAAAAATATTTTTAGTGTAGTGCAAAATGGAACAGCAGTAGCTAAAATATGAGTTTGCTCATTTAAAATATATGTATAAAACGTATGATCATCTGAAGGAGCACCACATAGGTATGTCAGGTTCCATAATGGCAGTATCATCATTAGGTTGCACTTCAGTCTCAATCATAAGAAACTACTTTTACAACTTTTTTTTCAGAAATGTACCTTTGGCATTTTTTGTAGCAAACGAATATTTGCCAAAGGAGTGACCTCTTATTCACGAAAGCCACAAGAGTGGAAAAACCTCCCCTTACAAACATGCAGATGTGGCACATGGGTTGTGGTTTAGCAGTGAATATGGTGGTGCTGGGCTAGTGGTTTGACATTATCATCATGGAGGTCTTTTGCAACCTTAACAATTCTATGGTTCTGTGACCTAGGTTATGAGAATTAGGGGAGCACAGCTCTCTATTAGTCAAAGAAGGGCATTTGGTCTCCCTTTAGATGCTTCAAATCCATCTTACTGCCTTCCTAGATGTATTTGTTTGAAACACAGTGGACATAAATAATTCTTGGTGCCACAGAACTTATATTTACATTCATTCTAGAAACCATGTAAAGTGTTAACAAAATAAGGTTATAGGGATGTGCAGTAAAACTGGTCAGTCATTTCAGTATTTAAAGTGACCATTCCCTGCACGACCATGGACAGGATCTTACCAAATAGGACTTCATTGGCACAGCAGTGGCCATTCTTTACACTAGGATTGGGATTTGGACCCTGAATAGATATTTTGGTTGTGCTGTCTTTGCAATGTTATTTTGCGTCTGAGGGCATTGTAAGTTAAGTAGTCACAGAGCACTGACAACTTTCAGGATCGCCTTCATCTTTTTCAGTCTTACAATAAAAAAGTAATTTAGCATTAAACAAAACTAGGAAGATATGAGAACATAAAAATCAAATAAATGTATTTGGGACTTGTATGTTTACTTATACTTTTGTCATTATTAGGGACTACTTTATTCCTACAGAGAAACCATGTATGATGAAGGGATATTTACATGTGCCAGTGAGCATAAAAGCAAGTATTTAACTAATTCCCAGAGGTGCATATTTTTTCATAATAGGCTCTCTATGGTTTCTTTTTTATGCTAAGAAAAAAATTACATGGGGCAATTGCAATTCAGCTCCTGCTGACAAAATTTAATTAACTCCCAATAATCAACTAGTTTTACTCTATGAGTCTCCAGCATTTGTGTATTTTGCAAACTGCACTAATGCTCTCCATAGGCCCAAGCATTCGCTTATGTTTTTCATTTCATTCTTGCCAAATTTGATACGATTGTTAGAGCTCCAGTCAAGATMTGAAAAAAAAAAAAAGGAGCTAAGAATATTTTTTAAAACACAGTTAGCAAGAGTTCACTCTCTAGATGTGTGCACCTTTATTTTGAGCTAAGRCTTGTACTTAAGGGAAGCTGGGCTGGGAAAGTGTGGGGATAAACAGCTTCAGCTACCCATGTGCATTAAGGAGCTTAATGGCTCTTTATTATAAGCACTTTATTATAAGGGAAAGACACTGACAGTGCTCTTCAGTCTCAAAAAGCTTTGACACAATCAGGAATAAGCAAAATGGTTTTGAAATGCTCTCCATTGAAGGTTGTCTGAATTAGGTGGGAAGGTTTATGAACTTATTCATATTTACTGCAACTTTGCAAATGAACTGAAATGCAGTCTTTGTCATTGTGATAACTTTTTTCAGATTTAAGTCTCTGTTGCCTGTATCTACACATACAAGGTGAGGATTTCAGCATAAACCAAACTGCAAACAATGCATTGATTAGTACAGAGACCCATGATCCTAAATTCTTCAGTGCACTTTGAAAATCCCAGTGTCATTCAGCTGCACCCTAAATATTTGGAATATCTACACATACCTAGAAAGTTTTTTTTTTTTTTTTGCATGCAGATATGGCTTCTGATGAACCAAAAACAATTAAGAGAGAAAACACAGAGATGCAAGTTTAGAGGATGTTTGATTAATTTGTCTTTTTTGATTGCACTGCTGATCATTAAACTGTATGATGGTTCCAAAGCATAAGAGCTTTAGAACTTTGAATATTCCCTGAGTTCATTCCCTGAGTTTATTCACATTTTACTGGTTTATTCCCATTTAACTGATATGAATCAGTTTAATATTAGTCCTGAAATCTGGGAACTCTTTCTTTCTAATTGCAGGATGAAGGGAAGTGCAGACCCCTGGAAATAACAAAGCTGGAAGGAGCAGAAATCAGTGTTGACACCAGTCTGGGTAAACCATTTGTTTTTAAATGTATACCTCAAGCTGGAAACAGGATTTTCTACTTCTGTGCAACTTCCAACCAGGAAATGAAGAGGTAAGCAATTTTCATTTTAACAGCATCTGTTTTGTTTTTCTAGTGTGGGGAGAAAGAGTTTGAATTTTTGGAGGATTTTCACAATACCTTCCTTGATCCTTAGGGAAAAAAACCCAAAAAATCTATCAGCAACAGTGAAGGGAAGACAGTGTTTTTAATTCTCAATTTCAGAAGCTTCAAAAATCATTTTCCGGTTTCATAGCCTTTTGTTTAAAATAAAATTTTGAATGTTCATGTTTTCCTATCCTCCTGAATTCTTGATTTATCTTGAGAACAAAAACTTCACCCTTACTCTCATGTCTTTTCTCCCACTGTTGTATCACATGAAGTGTAAATTTTCCTGTGAATGTAAACTTGCTTATCAGTCTCTCTTCTAGTCAACAAGGACAGTGCTAGTAATTAATTAACTAATTAATTAATTAATTAATCTCCTTTTCTGTCATTCTGTCATATTTTCATTTTAGTATATTAAAATGCAAAAGTGCCACAAAAGCACGGCAGYTCTGACAAGAGGCAGTGTCCTTCGGTTTGAGAGAATTAGGCTTTAAAAATGTTCTTTTGCATTTCCCAAAGACAACAGCTGACAAAACAAAGAGACTGAACCACACATATGAGCAACAGAATAATAATTTTCAAAAAGTACTAAAATCTAATTTTATTTTCCTCTTTGTTTTATTGTGAGCTGTCAAAAATTAAGCTGTGAATTAAATTGATGTTTTGGTATTCATACATCCTGGGTTTTTTACATCATCTTACTACTTAACATAACCCACCATTGTAATATCAAAGCATTTTCCATTTCCAAATATTATACCATCCATAGCACAACAGAATAACTTTGCTAACAAACAGCTTACTTAAGTCTGTAGTTTCCGGTTTCAGGGTTCTTTATGTTTCCCACAAATTCCTTATCTGCATTATGACAAAGACAAGAAGAGTGATTATTTTGCTTGATGTGTTGAACTATATTTTGAATTGTGTGTTTTGATATATATGTTCTCTTGTCTGCAATATTGCCTTCATTTATTACAATGTGTTACACAAGCAAGCTTTAAGACTTATCTTTTTGAGAGTAGGCAGCTCTTGATTAGATTCAATCCACTGCTTTTTTATCCTAAAGCCTTGAATGTGTCCTGAAAATTTTGCATCCCTTTGGATGCTGCATATGTCAGCAAGAATTAAAAGAGGCAGTGGCGCATATTTGTTCTGCTCTACCAGACTAATCTATTAACACTTTTTTTTTCATATTACAGGTGGCTGGAGGCTATGGATAAAGCTGTGCATCCTGTCCATCAGGTAATGCTGTACTTAGGTGAGAAGCATGTATGCAGCAGATTGTGCAGAGAACCAAGATGGAGTAGCTGTATTTGTACATGGTCAGGTGCAGACTGAAATATGGAAGCTGCACACTTTTGTTTCATTGGGCTGTGAATCAGTTCCAATCAAAGAACAATATACAGAATTATGACTCAGCTTATATGCTTTGCTGTCATATGATGGAATGAATAAATCTCTCTCCAGATACCAGCAGCTTAAACTGGTTTGGAAACATAACATGAAATTAGAGTAGCAGGCAGAAAGGAAGGGTAGAGATGACATTCACAAGCATGTGTAATGCCTTAGGTAATACTGTTTAGGGTAAAAGGAGAGAAGGGCTGTATCTTCCTAAGTATTCCCCACAATTCTGCCTTGATTGCAGGTAACCCATTTTTTCCAACAGAATATTGGGTGGGGATGAGGCATGATTGCTGAGTTCTTATCTTCTGTGGTTTTGGAGGTAAAGAAAGATAAGTAAGCTGGAAAAAATTGACTTACCTGTCTTTTACACTGATACGATCTCTGCTCGCCCTTGTGGCTGGGCAAAATACAACCATAATTGATCTTGAGCTGCTACTGAGAGACCTTGCTCAGCCCAGAGTAATTAAGTATCAATAGTGTCTGGCTGACCCCTGAACTGGGAATTGCAAGGCTAATTTTAGTATTTCCAAACTTGGAACCACAGAGGTCAAAGACATTAAAGTCTGTCCTTTCCTAGCCCCTATCCTACTACAGGCAGAACCACCTACAAAAATAGGCTGTTGATCTGTAAAATTTTTTAAAGAGATTTAAATGCTGAACCAACTTGTTTTCAATGGAAAGGGAGGCTGAAATGAAGGGTAAGTATCAAGGCTTTTTTCCAAATGAAGCAAAATTGTCAATTAAAAACTATGAAAATTGCAAGGTGTAAATTATAACCTGCATTAATGAGTGAAAAATTAAAAAGTGGCGTGAGTGATACCTTCAGCAGTGTTTAACAATGGGTTTCCAAACAAAGTGGAAGGTGTTTCTTGTTGCATTAATATCTTTTGCACTGAAGTAAAATTGATTAAACTTACATTTCTTTTGGCTTTAGCTTTCAGATGAGGTTATAAGTGCAAGACCAAACTTATTTCCAAATATATTCTTCCTGAGCATTTCTCAAAAGAATATGAAGGAATCCACACACTTGAAAATAGCAAAAATAAGTCAAACTAGTGTACCCCTACTAAGGAAACAATAAAACACCCTGAGTCAATAAGGATAATACTCACATAGACAAAACACAGAAGACTCAACAGAGTCCTTCTTTAGTGCAGCATGCATAAGTAACTGTTGTCTAAAATGTCCAACATGAGACATACAGAAGGATCACTCATGCATTCATCTATTAACAATGCAGTAAGTTGGCTCCTTTCTGTGCTACTTCTTAAATTTTGTCTTTGACTCTACAATGCCCTTTTTTCAAATTAATATTTGATTTAATAAGTGGCTTTCATTTTCTAACCAGAATTTCCACTGAGTTGAACAGAAAAAGCTTATATTTGCCTTCTTTTTTGTTTGCTATATTTTCTGTGACTGGCATTTAGCAATAGCTCGTGTGTTGTTATGGGAGAGCTCACAACAGAGTGATTTGTAGTGACACCAGTGCCCTCTTAATGAATCTACAAGGATAACTACTTTAAGGATACATGTAGTGTTACTGGAGTCCTCTTCTGCTCTTTACTGCAATAGCTATATTGTGCTAGGTCTTTTTTCTCATTGCTTTGCCAAGTATGCTAAAGAAATATCATGAATAAACGCAAAAGAAAGCCCCTGTGGAAACAGACAAGAAGCTATTGGTTTAGCACACATTGCCCCACAACATTTCAAATGACAAAGACACTAGTAGATGGGGAATTCTAAATGTGTATTGCAAATGGCAAAACATACTAGAAGAGGCTGAGATTCTAATGCTGTTCAGATTTAAAAAAGAAATGCTTTAATCTCACATTAGACAACATGGTCTTATAAAACAAGAGATTCTTTTTTCTCAATTTTCTTTTTGGATTATTTTGCCATACAAATATCCCATACAATGGCAATGTTTCATGGGTTGAGCTCTTTCTTCACATGCCAATAAGCTAAATTTGTTAATGGAAAATACTCTGCTTTTTACTCAGGGAAGGGAAGGAATATGCAAACATTTTGTGTGCGGTAGCGCTTCTGTCTAAGTCTGGATGCTGTATCCTGGTGTCAGACACCACGACATTTTCTCTGAAACCCAGAGTAGATGGTGAATTTTGTCTTGCCAGATTATATACAGAAAAAATACTGAAGTCAAGCAGACTACAAGACAATTCTTTAAAAAAACTTCTTCATATAGCTGTGAAGTTTTTTTAAAAAATTGTCTTGTAGTCTGCTCAAAGTAATTGTCTTCGTACCAGCAACACATATAATGAAAAATAAAATAGATGCAGAAAAAAAAATTGTTATTGTAAGAAGAGAGTAGACATTGGACATTGTTTGCCATCACATGCAGGTTTTTGTAATTTCATTTTCAGCTTTGAATTTTGTTGTGACTGAACTCCAGCAACAGCTCAGCCCCACACAACTTTCCACTCACTAGCTCCCAGTATGAGGAGGGAAAGATCAGAAGACTAAAAGTGAGGAAAATCATGGGTTAAGATCAAAACATTTTAATAGCTAAAGCAAAAGCCACACACAGAGGAAGAGCAAAACATGGGATTCTTTCATCCCTTCCCATGGTTGGGCAGGTGCCCAGTCATCCCCAGGAGAGCAGGGTCCCATCACATATAATGGGTACTTGGGAAGAGAAACACCATCACTCCAAACTTTCCCCACTTCTTCCCCAAGCTTCATACACTGAGCATGTACTATGGTATGAGATATCATTGTGGTCAGTTACGGTCAGCTGTCCTGGCTGTGTCCCCTCCCAACTCCTTGTTCAACCTCAGCCAGCTCACTGGTAGGGTGAMAGGCAGAAAGACCTTGGCTCTGTGCAAGCTTGCTCAGCAATAACTAAAACATCCCAGTGTAGTCAACACTGTTTTCAGCACGAAACCCAAACACAAGCCCCATACTAGCTACTGTGAAGAAAATTAACTCTATTCCAGCCAAAGCCAGCACAACGTTTCAAAAGATTTTCACAACAAACGATAATTTCTTGGCAGAAGACTAGAGCTTGTGTCTTTTCATACCAGCAGATCTTCCTTAGTTTTTTACTAGAACATTTCATTACATGCTTGCTTTACAGAACCATGTGTGGGTAGATGTCACACTGCATAACACTACACTTCCACCATTGGCTATCAAGAACCCCGAGTGCCTGGGGCTTCTCCACCAGCTGGACAGGAGCAAAGATGTCTGGGTTCAGCACTATTGCATTCTGAAGGATGGCTGTTTGTATTTTTATGCCACACTCCGGTCTACACCTGCCCAAGGTAGGGATGGCTGCTAGATTTTAATTGATTTTTTAAGTAGAAATGTTTCACTGCAGTTTCTAAGTAGAACTTTTAACATTAATGAGAGGTTCTTAACAGGAAGTTCATGCTGTTCCATGAAGGTGAATAAAGGAAGACCAAACTCTGTATATTCACAAGCCACATCATTCCTGACCCTAGTCTTCTTCCCTTTTCCTCCCACTGTCTTACTTTTTTCTTTCTGAAATGTAATTATTCTATGCACATTCTCTCAAAGGGTGGTTTCAGAAACAACATCCATCCTTCTAAAAGCACTTTATGGTGGGTGGCTTGAGGCAGGCCCACCAATGGTAGCTTTGAAAGCTGTCAAATCCTGCATGTTAGGAAGCACCTTCAGACGTAATGAACTCAGACTTGTTTCCCTGAAACTACCAGGTTTTCATATGGCCCTGTTAAAGTCAGTCTACCCTCAATATGCAGAACTTTCCTACTGCAGGAGAGCCTGCTTGTCCAGGATGTGGCCACAGTCATTTGCAGCTAAAGCTGCCCTGTAGAATCCCTCCCCACAGCAGGAAAGGTTTGGCTGCCCACTCTCAGAGGAGCAACATGAGCTTACAAGGGTCAATTGCAAGCAGAGCTCACTTCAAAAACAGAGAAAAGATGAGTGAGAACCTGCAAATACTTCCTCCCGGTGCTAAGGAAGCTGGCAGTCAGAAAAACCAGAAGAAAATACTGTTGAAATTTTGCTTGCTAACCAGTCTTCAGATCAAAAGGGAAAAACTCTTTTCAGGGGTTATGCTTTTATGATCAGGAAAAAGGTACTCCACTTCATATTTTTTGCAAAACACTTTTTGTCTGCCAAAGGCCATACATACACAATGACCAGGGATTTTCTCTCTACATGAAACCAAAGCTAAGGCTTGCCCAGTGAAAAAACAATGAAATAGCAAAAGACAGAAATTAAATACTATGCATTTATGACACTGAAGCCTACTGACAAATATTTTCTTCTGGTATTTAAATACCTACTCAATAAAAATTCTTCAATGTATTAGTGKTTTTTTTCTCATTATTGTTTTTTTCATATTCAGCACATATTCTCATTTCCTCATATCATGCTAGAACATCTCTCAATCTGGAATCATCTCTCAATGCTAGAACATTATTTTGATGCTGTTGTACGTAAATGTGAGACCCCCCAAAAATACAGACCCTGTCCTGCAAGTCTTTCTGACTATTAACCATTTATGTATAAACTTGCACCTTAAGTTTCACTGAAATAAAATCTGGAGGAAAAAAATCRAAACCAGCTAAAATGAAAATGTCCTGGAGATCAAATTCTGTCTAATGCCTTCCTTCACAGCTGGCTAGTGTAGCCTGCAATGATATTTCAGTTAGTAATGGCAGCAGGAGTAATCAAGCCTGATTCTAGGATTTTTTTTCCTATTAAAATTCATATCCCTTCAGTTTTTAAAGGATGGAAAAAATATATCAGCAACAAGAGTTCTCCTTTCAAAGAACTTCACAGTGGCTTAAGACAGTCTCATTAATGGCAGGCAAAAGCTAAAAAAAATATTTTGCCATGTCTTATTTAATGAAAAGCTAAATAAATCTCTACTGCTCATCATTTGATAGACAGGAAGCCTTTTGAAGTCAATTTTCATAACAGGAACACAAATCTGAACTTTCAGATTTTTACACGTAAATTCTGTAAAACTCTGTCAACACACCRAACTGAAGGCATCTGAAAATCCAGTTTGCTAGATTTGTTGGTATGCTTGTAATTGGCAGTAATTCTATAATGGTATCTGTAATATACATGATGCATGCTATTTTATTCTATCCAGGTGGCCTTTACCTGCAGGGCTATATTGTGACTGAACAGTCCCTGGGCTCCAAGAGATCTGTGATTGAGCTCAAGCCTCCATCTGAAGAATTTAAAACTTTTTACTTATGTGCAGAGAATGTAAATGAAAACAAAAGGTAAATCAAACTTTTTTGTTTGCTGTTTTCATCCAGTTTCATTTGCCAGACTTTAGGAGAGCTGGAACATTGTAGCTTGGGAAGATCTAGTTTTCAGTCTGTTTTCACTTCTCTCGCTAGATTTCCTTTAGCAAAGGGGTAGCTTTAGTCAAACTGCAGTAAAACATATACTGGCACATGTGAGTCATCAGTTCTGATATTGCCAGTGCTGGAAAAGCAGCAGAGGTTTAGAAATTTCACAATTATGTGGGAGGGGTTATATGGAACACAAAACACCTCTCATAAGAGAAAATGAGTATGTATCCTTCTCATTCCCAAGAATTATTTCTATCAATCACCATTAGAATCTAATTAATTTAAGAAAATTGGCCAATGAAATCACATTCTGAAGTTAAATTCTCTCACAACAATCCAGTCAAATTCCATGTCGGTCAGTGGAAGTTTTTACCTAAAGCCTACTAATTACATTTACCTGGGTTTTAATGTAATGAAAAGAAAGACCAAGCTTTTCAGTGTATTGGAAAATTGGTGTTAAGATATATTGGTTTTGCAGCCAATACCTTCACTTTCTGCATCTCTCCAATCCACTGATGATCAGCACACATAGTAACAGAGTCAAACAAACTCCACTTATTGAATGCATGTTTCAAAGAACAGAGAAATGCATGCATAACCCTTGATCAGGGACAATTGTTGGTCTTCAATTTCTTCTAGGTGGATTACAGCTTTGAAAGCTTCAATTAATAAATGGTTACCCCTACACCAGGCAATCCAAGATTTCATGAACAGACCACTGGAGGAGACAAGGATGTGAGAAGAAAGCTCAGTTTTTCCCCTGTTTCTGTTTTGCACTTAAAATTCCATGCTGTATCTTATGAGTCATCTCATTAAATGCTCTAGCAGCAGCTAATCTTTAGCATTGCCATACATTCACAGCTTTTGTAAGTATTAGAAAATAAATGCAAAGCAATGTTGCCTTCTTTGTCACTGTATTTTGTTTTTCTACTTCAGCTCAGACAACACACAGAATCTACTTTACAGCTATGACCTGACATATATTCCACATACATTTTGTACTCCCTGCTGGCAGTTTTTTGGGGGGGTTGTTGGGTTTTTTGAGTTTTGGAGGATTTTTTTCATCTGGACTCTTTGCAAAGTCTTCTGCTTTTTCATCCAGATGGTTCATCTGTGAGTTTGCCTTTAAGTTTCTAGGTGTTGTGATGCTTAATGCTGAGACAAGCTGGGTTTAGTGAAGGGTTAGCAGCTGTATACTATTACATRGAATAAATCTGTGTAATTTGAATGTGCTGTTGTACTTTTGCATTCTATTTTAACATAAGTTTTAATTTTATGCTGATTTTGATTTGGTCATCTGCCATCATATCACAGCACATTTGTGAAGAGAAATCAATTCAAGAATCAAAGGATGATGTTTCCTCCAAAGTTAGCAATAAGAGACAGCAGCATTAAAGGTCATCAGGGGTATCAGGATTGGACATATGTACTTATTACAGCTGGTTATATACACAGTATCTCACATCAATGTCTAGCAYTTAAGTAAGTCCTATATTCAGTTTCCAAGCTTCTCAAAAGACCAAGTAAAATTACAAAGGTTAATTCAAAGATGCAACCAATACAAACAAAAACAAAATTGTGAGATTTTAATTACAAAGGCTGTGAGACTTGGTTTTCTTATAATGAACTTTAGACCTCAATATTGTTTGACCACACCAGAAACTCAGCTCCTTGCTTCTACTATTAGCCTGGAAGATATTAATTGCAATGCAGAAAAAATCTAAAAAGCAAGTGGTTCTCCCCCAGCCGCCACAAATGTATTTTTTTTTTTTTTAGGAGACAGATTCCTTAGCTTACATTCTTGAAGCAGTAGTACTTCAAAGAATACTGTTAAACTGTTCAAATTATTTGCTAGAGTGACTCTAGTGATTTATATAAAAATAAGAACGGTTAGTAAAACAGCATAAGCGATTTTCTGAAAATAGTCTCCCAACCCAATTATGTTTTTATGTTTGCCTTGTATAAATCTGTGCTCTGAGGTAAAATACACAACCACATTTGAAAACAAGCAGTCATCACAGTCATATTCTACATTCTGGAAATCAGGCACATTTTAAATAATAAACAAAACAAAAAAAGTCCAAACTAATCAACCAGGAAAAAAAGAAAAAAAGTGCCACAGTGGAACCTCACCAGTAGTATATCTTTTGCTATGAAACAGAACAGAATTTTGAGTTTCTGTCCCAGGGTGACTGTGTATTCCTATTGTCTGTGTTATGCACAGAAACTGTAACCTGGCTACAGTCTCTGGAGAGCCGAGAGAGCTCCAACGGGGGKTTTTTTGGGGGATTTTTTTCTTTGTTACAGGACTTCTTTCCCAGTGAGCTGATTTGTTGTGGGTGGGGCAGTAACCTGCACAACAGTCCTCTAGCTTATTAGCAACCACAGCGGCAAGAAGCTGTTTTTCSCTGGGACTGCTGCTTCTTCGTCTTCTTCATTTTTTACTTGCTTTCTCAGCTGAGAATCAAAAGATGCCTGGGAGGACAGTAGGTGAGAATCCTCCAGGGACCCACCAGAGTGACTCCACCGAGCCCCCTGGGACCCCCTGGAGGGGTAAGCCATGCCAAGAAAAAATCCACCAGCTATTTCCACAGGTTTTCAATAATTCTTTTTTCCCATGCCCTGTAGGCATTTTGTTTCGTTTTGTTAAATAAACAGGCTGGGTTTTTTTTTCACTTTCCTATAACAGAATTATTTTCCAAGCCCAGGCAGGGGAGGGGCTCACTGGAACTTGGGAGAATTTGCCCCTCCTCAATTTGTCTCAAACCAAGACAGTTTGCCACAAAAGAAATAACAGTCAATCCAAATCCAGATTTCTCCAAAGACTGAGGTAGTTTAGATTTAAAACTTTATGTAAAGTTCCTCTTTGAAATCTAAGTTTTAGTTTCCTTCTAGCTTTTTGTTGCAATTTCTTCAAAAGGTGAAATTGGGGTGATCTAGTTTACTGCTGTCTCAGGGGTCAGCACAGCTGTGCAATTACAGTATTGTCAGTATCCCACTATGGCTCATTTGTTTGCAAACAAGATTTTACAATTATTGCCACATGTATCTGCTTTCAAGGTTTTCTTTCCACTACCAGGAAAAAGATGTGTTGAAACCAGAACACTTGCTTTAACCGAGTTTGATATTGCATTGACAAGAAACTGGGTCAGGTACTTGAAGTATGATTTATTCAGATGATTTTCTGCCCTCCAAATGGAGCTATTTTTCTGCCCTCTTCAGCAGAAAATTTGTACAAGGTTCTGCAGCAGGAAAACCACACAGGATCACCAAGGCATTTTCTTCAAAGGGCTGAGTTATTTAAGTGGAAAGAATTTGAGGCCACAAAAACATTTTTGGGATGTTCATAATTTCCTTTTGTAGCAGATTTTTGAAGGATAAAGGCACTGGGGTTAGTTTTTATCTTCTTTCTCCCAGACCCTGGAATCTGAAAGTCATTTAGTGGAAAATTATTTTGAATTTTCACAGTGTCTTGGTTTGGAGACAATATTTTCAGAGAAAAACGTTACAGAGAAACGTTTCCTCTGAAATGAAAAAAAATTTGATAATTTTTTTCCCACCAATAAGAAATAGATGCCGGGCAAAAAGTGAAGAGCAAAAAGGTACTTTATTAACAAAACACAATGCCCACAGGAAACAGATAAAAAGTAACCGTTAGATATTCAAAAGCCCAGGAGCACAGCTGCCCCCTCCGGCTCACCACGTGGCAGTGCGGAGAAAAAAAAAATGGCAGCTCCCGTCCCCGGGAAAAGAAACAAAAAAAAAAAAGAAATCCATGTGGCCACATTCAGTAACAGTGGCAAAAAGGAAACCCAAAAACCTGTATTACAGTCCTTTCTTCACTGTGAATGGAATGGAGGGCTCGGTGTGTTTTCTGTTGCCTGCTCGACTTCTTYCGGAATCCTGGACGAGATGGAGCTGCAGAGGGGGTCTGTCCAGGGAAAGCTGCCGAATCTAACAAACCCAAGCTAGCTAAAACTGCAACAATGTAACTCCACTGCACACTGCGAGCAAGGACTCCCGCGGCGCCGAGCAGAGCAAGAGCCGAGCTCCAAAAGCCCCGGCTGTGTGGCAGCGCCGGCTTTTAAACTGCCCATGCTGCCTTCCCAGCAGCTCCTGCTCCTTCTTCCAAGTCGGGGTTAAAGGCACAGGCACCTTTTGGGCATTACAAGCCAACAGGGATAGGAATGCATAACAGAATTGGCACAAACACAACCCAAGACATTCCACCCCTTATTCCATATCCGTTGGCTTTTAAGCCCATAACTAATACATTCTAACTCTAAAGACACACATATATATATACATATATACATATATATACAAAATAGTGACATTCAGCAAACATTAATCATAGTTATCCTAACATTACATGCCGTTTTCACTCAAAATCAAATCCCCCTGAAGTACACGGGTTTCTCCCTCCTCCTGCATTATCCACCAAGTACAACCTGGGCTCTGAGCAAAAACAACCCCATGGATGGGTTTGTCTTTGCTAGAGGCAGAATTAATCCAGACATTCTTTCCTAACAGATCTTTGAGATGTACTGCGGGGACCCTGTCTCCATCTACTGTATGCAGGGGTTCAGATTGGGCAGGACCAGCTCAGTTGGTGGAACCTCAGGTGTTTACCATCCAGGTAGCTTTTGCTAGGTGCTGTTCCCAGTTTTTGAAAGTACCTCCGCCCAGTGCCTTCAAAGTGGTTTTTAAGAGTCCGTTGCACCGTTCCACTTTGCCAGCAGCAGGTGCATGGTAAGGGATATGGTACACCCATTCAATGCCATGTTCCCTAGCCCAGGTGTTTATAAGGCTGTTCTTGAAATGAGTGCCATTGTCAGACTCAATTCTCTCTGAGGTACCATGCCTCCAAAGGACCTGATTTTCAAGGCCCAGGATGGTGCTACGGGCAGTGGCATGAGGCACAGGGCAGGTCTCCAACCATCCAGTGGTGGCTTCTACCATTGTGAGTACATAGTGCTTGCCATGATGCGTCTGGGGCAGTGTGATGTAATCAACCTGCCAGGCTTCTCCGTACCTGTACTTGTCCCACCTTCCCCCATACCACAGGGGTTTCACCCGTTTGGCCTGCTCGATGGCAGCGCATGTCTCACAGTCATGGATAAGCTGGGAGATGCTGTCCATGGTTAGATCCACCCCTGGGTCTYGTGCCCACTTATAAGTGGCATCTCTGCCCTGGTGGCCTGAGGCATCATGGGCCCATCGAGCTAGGAACAACTCACCCTCGTGTTGCCAATCCAGATCRATCTGGGACACCTCTATCTTTGCAGCCCGATCTACCTGCTCATTGTTCTGGTGCTCATTAGCCYGGCTCTTGGGGACATGGGCATCTACATGGTGGACTTTCACARGTAACTTCTCCACCCGGGCTGCAATGTCCTTCCACTCTTCAGCAGCCCAGATTGGTTTTCCCCTACRCAGCCAATTGGCCTTTTTCCATCTGTCCAGCCACCCCAACAGGGCATTGGCTACCATCCATGAATTGGTGTAAAGGGAGAGTTTTGGCCACTTTTCCCTCTCAGCAATGTCCAGGGCCAGCTGGATGGCTTTGAGTTAGGCAAATTGACTCGATCCACCTTCTCCTTCTGTGGCCTGTGCTACCTGTCGTGTAGGGCTCCATACAGCTGCTTTCCACTTTCGGTTCATCCCAACAATGCGACAGGAACCATCAGTGAAGAGAGCATAGTCTTTGTCCTCTGCTGGCAGTTGATTGTTTAGTGGAGCTTCCTCAGCCCGGGTCACTTGTTCTTGTTCCTCTTCATCAGCAAGACCAAAGTCTTCACCTTCAGGCCAATTTGTAATTATTTCCAGGATCCCAGGGCGATTTGGTTTTCCAATGCGGGCACACTGAGTAATGAGAGCAATCCATTTGCTCCAGGTAGAGTCAGTGGCATGGTGGGTAGAGGGGACCTTAGCTTTGAACATCCACCCCAGTACTGGTAATCAGGGTGCTAGGAGGAGTCAGGCTTCAGTGCCAATCACCTCTGACGCAGCTTGGACTCCTTCATAGGCTGCCAAGATCACTTTCTCTGTTGGGGTGTAGTTGGCCTCAGACCCTCGGTAGCTTCGGCTCCAGAATCCCAGTGGCCGGCCTCGAGTCTCACCAGGCACGTTTTGCCAAAGGCTCCAGACCATTGCTCCCGGCTGCAGAGTAGAGCACGTTCTTCA